ATCAGAAAAATATGTGGTGGAAGCCCTGGGATTGCCTGGCTTGTTTAAAAGAACTTCTTTGAAAAAGGAGGAGGAGGAGGAGGAAAGAAAGAAAGAAAGAAAGAAAGAAAGAAAGAAAGAAAGAAAGAAAGAAGACAGGGGGATCTCACTGAGAAACAGTTTCCGTGTCTGGCTGCTGGGAATGCAAAGTTTTTATAGAGTAGGCAGACAGATGTTGGACTGACACTGAACATCAGTGGGGGCTGTGAAAGATTTCTGGGGTTCATTTGGCAGGGCCAGAAAGACAGGAGTTACAGCATCATTGGAGACGATGCTGAGAAGTTCTAAGCCCCCCCCCCAAAGTCCAGCTTGGAGCAGGAGCTAGGAAAGATTTCAAACTTGTCCCGCCCTGTGCGCTGCGCTTTGGCCTAACTCTGCACGCTAACAGACGGATGGTTTTGATTAAGTTAAGGAAGGAGAAGAAAAGAGCGGGCGGTGGGGGGGGGGAGAGAAGGAGGACACGTGCTTTGGCCTGGGACATCTCTCTGTTTTTGCAAAGGCCACATGCGTCACTCTCCCTCGTGGGCCATGGAAATGGGGAATGAAAGAATGTTAACCCCTTGGAGTGTGGACTGATGGGGAATCTGGGGAGCTGGCTTGCATGTGTCGAAGATGTAGGCTGCTTCACGGGGTTTTGTTCTAGGGGAAGAGGGGCAGTTGGGATTGCAAGAGTGGGGCCTGTCAATCTGGAACGGGGTACACATTCAATTTTGTTTGCATCTCAATGAGAAGCTACCTAATTTGAACTTCTCGAACTAATATGTGAACCAAAACACAAGTGGCCTTTGAAATTCACCACCCCTCTGAATTTTGCAATGCAGTTCTCTCCAAGCACTGTGTACAGAAAATGCATATATTAGGAGAAAGTGTGCATAAGAAGGCATTCATTTGTGAAAATAATATACCAAAGAATGCAGTTTTGCAAAAATGTATATATCAATCTAAACTGCATACAAAAACGTGCATGTTAGGAGAAATTTGTACCAAAATACTGGCAGGTGTTCGCTGGGTTTTTAAAAATTGCAATTTGGTAAATTTCTGCAGAAACGTAGAGAAGAAAATTTAAGAATAGAAGAATGAGAAGGAAGAAAGAAACCAAAACTGACAAAATCATCAAGTCCCAATCTGAAGCAATGAAGATCGCATTTGGTGTCTGCGCCAAAGATCAGAGTTTTATTGGGAGGAACTCACTATGACGAACTCCAGAACTACTTTTGAAAAGCAGCTTTTGCCCATCCCACTTGCTCTGATCAGTGTCACATTCCAATGACAGGAGAGAGATTCCCAGCCAGTTAAAGAATGCACTAAGGGCTGCCACAGGGAGGAGGGAGCAAGCTTGTTTTCTCCTGCTCTGGAGGACTTGAACCAATGGCTTCAAGTTGCAAGAAAGGAGATTCCGACTAAACATTCGGAAAAGCTTTCTGACAGTAAGAGCTGTTCAGCAGTGGAACAGGCTCCCACGAGAGGTGGTGAACTCACCATCCTTGGAGGTTTATAAACAGCAGTTGGATATCTGCCATGGATCATAGAATCATAGAATCATAGAGTTGGAAGAGACCACAAGGGCCATCGAGTCCAACCCCCTGCCAAGCAGGAAACACCATCAGAGCACTCCTGACATATGGTTGTCAAGCCTCTGCTTAAAGACCTCCAAAGAAGGAGACTCCACCACACTCCTTGGCAGCAAATTCCACTGTCGAACAGCTCTGTCAGGAAGTTCTTCCTAATGTTTAGGTGGAATCTTCTTTCTTGTAGTTTGGATCCATTGCTCCGTGTCCGCTTCTCTGGAGCAGCAGAAAACAACCTTTCTCCCCCCTCTATATGACATCCTTTTATATATTTGAACATGGCTATCATATCACCCCTTAACCTCCTCTTCTCCAGGCTAAACATGCCCAGCTCCCTTAGCCGTTCCTCATAAGGCATCGTTTCCAGGCCTTTGACCATTTTGGTTGCCCTCTTCTGGACACGTTCCAGTTTGTCAGTGTCCTTCTTGAACTGTGGTGCCCAGAACTGGACACAGTACTCCAGGTGAGGTCTGACCAGAGCAGAATACAGTGGCACTATTACTTCCCTTGATCTAGATGCTATACTCCTATTGATGCAGCCCAGAATTGCATTGGCTTTTTTAGCTGCCGCGTCACACTGTTGGCTCATGTCAAGTTTGTGGTCAATCAAGACTCCTAGATCCTTTTCACATGTACTGCTCTCAAGCCAGGTGTCCCCCATCTTGTATTTGTGCCTCTCATTTTTTTTTGCCCAAGTGCAATACTTTACATTTCTCCTTGTTAAAGTTCATCTTGTTTGTTTTGGCCCAGTTTGGATGCTTTAGCTGAGATTCCTGCATTGCAGGGGGCTGGACTAGATGACCGCTGGGGTCCCTTCCAACTCTAAAATTCTATGTCCCTGCCAAGTTAGTTGTCCAGTAACCTGGACGGTAATTATACCATTTATTTGTATGGCACTTTCCTATAGAAAACCATACCCAAAGCAGTTCACAACATCAAGAAATATTACATTCAGTAACAATTATAGGTTGTCTAGTGTTGGACTAGAAGCTGGGAGGTGACACATAAACTACATGAGAAGGACAATTGTGACTTCAAGGAAGATTGGGAACTTTTTACAAACTGTTAAAAAAACAACACACAAAATGATTTGGACTCCTTGGCAGGTTTTGAATAAACATCCACAAATTTATTAATAGTATATATGACAGATAAGGCAATGATATGTACAATTTTTAACATGTAGAGAATAATATGTGCAAACAAATCAGAGAGGGGAGCTGAGGGAAGTCCTTGGTGGGGGGGGGGAAGGGAGGGATGGGGGAATAAAAAGGGGGGGGAATAATGTAATTGATTATTTGGACTGATAATTTGTTTTGTTGAAATTGTCTAATTTTTTATTTATTTTTTAAAGAAGAAGTTGGGATACCAGGGCTCAAATCCATACTCAGCCATAGGAATTTCTATGAGTTCAGTTGCCTTGTACAGATGGATCCTTACCTTGGTTTCACCCAACAGACAATGGGTTAGTCAGGGAAGTGCCAAAAGAATGCCAGTGATCCTTAATGACTAGGGATGCCTTTGTTAGTGACCTGGAACTCTTGCTCCCCTGCCTTTGGAATGTGGCACTAATCAGAGCTAGTGGGAGGGGCAGTGAAATACTTTATTATACCAAGTCTGGAGAGGAGGGAGGGAGAGAGAGAGAGTTCTGAGTCAAGCTGGACTTGATGCATCGGTCGCAGGAATGTGGTGGTCCAAACTGTTGGGATAATATTCAGGATCAGCAATATTGCTGCCTGCTATAGGTGTCTCTTGCTTCCAATATGCTCTGCCTGCACATTTGTATATAAAACCAATCTTACAAGTTGAGCATCTCTCCAGGTAAAGCTGAGCTGTGCATACCTGCCAGATTTCAGTTTGAGCAGGGTCTTAGTGTTTGCTCTTCTTCTAACATCAAACCCAGGCACAGCCAGAGGTAGATCCGTATGGGTTTTGGGGACAAGGCCGGTATCTGAGGGAGGCCCCTAGAATTTTATATCCGGGACAAAGCACTACATATAAGCTGACTTCAAATAAATGGCTTTTGCAATGACTGCTCTTAAAGCAACAGAGTAAATATAAAACCCAGCCAGACCCGTATTCTTACCCTAGTAAATTGGTAACCCTAGTCCAGGAAGTAGAACCTGAAGCTGAGGCTCCAGTACTTTGGACACCTCATGAGAAGAGAAGACTCCCTGGAGAAGACACTGATGTTGGGAAAGATGGAGGGCACAAGGAGAAGGGGGCGACAGAGGACGAGATGGTTGGATAGTGTTTTCGAGGTTACCAGCATCAGTTTGACCAAACTGCAGGAGGTAGTGGAGGACAGAGGTGCCTGGCGTGCTCTGGTCCATGGGGTCACGAAGAGTCGGACACGACTAAACGACTAAACAACAACAAGAAGTCCAGGAAGTGGCAGTGCCTCTGAGCACACACAGAGTACCATATCCCATCTCCATGCATTTAAGATAATTGGGTGAGCTTAGTTGGAGAAAAAGAAGCCTTCACCAGAATACTACCTTTCAGATGTTTTGGATGCATCTCCCACCAGCCTCAGCCAGCACAACCACAGTAATCCAAAATAGCTGGAGGGAACCAGGATGGCAGAAACTGGGTTAGAACAGGTTGGACCAGGACCTGGCTCAAATCACCTGCTCAGTGTCAAATCTCATTGGGTGACCTTGGGCCTCCTAATCTTACCGAGTTGTCATGATAATAAAATGGGGGCCCGGGAGCAACAATATTGCACTGTCCTGTGTTCCTTAAAGGAATGGCAGGACGAAACCCAAAATAAACCATTTTAAAGAGGTAGTTTCAACATTGTCAAGAACAGATCCCCACAATAATGTGTTTTAAGCAGACTCAATGCCCATTGAAAACGCATGACTTCCAAATAACCCTGGAAGCCGCAGCTTTTTAAGGGTAGTTCTGTGATGAGGAACTGCAGCTACCAGGATTCTCCGTTCTTTAAATGCGTGTCGACTTGTTCTGACGTTCATGTTTTGCATAATACCGATGCAAGCACCAAACACGCAGCTTTCCGGGTTGGGAAGTGGGGTGGGTTGAAATCCACGTTATGTTCCAAATGTTGAGTTTTGGAGCATCAAAATATCCGGAGCTGCATACAGGCAGCTGCACCATTCTTGCGTGTGCTCATATAGGCTCTGTCACCCCCTCCCTGCATGGTTGGAAAAAACTGGCTTCGCGCACACCGCACACGCTATAATCAGAATAATCGCAGCGTAGCTCTCAGCAAGCGCAACGCGTCCCTCTGCCTTTAACAGCCTGTCTGGGTGTGTCCAACCCGTGCATAATATGCAGCCTAAGGAGGGCGGGCCCTGCTTGGGCTGCCTTCCAATAGGCTCCAGGTAGGCTGGTCCATCTGGAAGGACAAGAAAGGGGGTGGAGGAGGTGGTTCCTTTTTCATTTTCTCGGGGAGCGTGAGATGGGGGATTATTATAGAACAGCCCAGTTCGGGTTTTCTCCCCCCCTCCCCTCTCCCCTTCTTGGTGGGCGTGGCTTAAAGTGACATATGGGGGCATGGTTTGGGTTTTCCGAAGAGCCAATCAGCAGCCAGGAAGGGAGTGGGAGGGGGGCAGCTGGAGGAGAGGGAAAAGTTTGTTTGGGGAAAGTTTTTCTTTATTACTTTTTTAAAAAAATATATTAAAGGGGGAGAAGGCGCGGGAAGAGGTATTGCGTTAAAAGGGGGAGAGCAGAGGTGAATCGAACCAAAACCTCCTCCATCCAGCCCCCCATTTTTTTGAGGGGTGCGGGGAGAGGGAAGGGGTCTTGCAACCCTATTAGGCTGCATCCACCGATTCTCCCCCACCCCCTGGAAAAAATGGGCGCAGCGAACTGCGAAGACGAGGACTTAGAATTCAAGCTGATTTTTGGAGAAGAAGAAAAGGAGCATCCTGGAATGGGGGTCCCCTTGGAAGGTGAGATGCGGGTTCTTATGGGGGCTTCTGATGGTTGGTTACAAGGAGGGAGGTGTGATAATATATGGGGAGGGGGAGAGAATCAAGGGGTTTTTTGTGCGTGTGTCTGGTGTAGCTGGAAAAAGTCCCCCCCTCCCTTTCCTTTTTAGGACAAGCGGGGAGGGAGATGGCACGAATGTTCCCAACTCCCTGCAGGAAGAGTCTGTGTGTTATTTTGCTCCCAGAGTGAGTAATCGAATCCCTAAAACACGCGGCCCACGCAAATGGTTAATACTATTTGCAATCATTTTAAAGATGGGTGTTGCGTTTCTGCCCATGCTGGTGAGGAAAGTGCGTGAGTGAATGAGAGAAGAAATCGGTCTCGAGTTTCACACACGCCCCAATCATGCTGCTGTGAAAATTTTGGAATCTGAAAACTTTCAGGTTGCACTGAACTCTGCATAGAATGTGGGGTTGTTGGTTTTTTTTTTTTTTTGGTAGCTTCTGAGTTCCTGGGACCAATTACTGGTTAACCCTTTTAAAATAATAATAATACAGAAAATCGTATTGATCAAAAAGAGTTAATGTGTGTGCTGCTATGTGTGGAAACTGTGAGCCGGAAAATCTTTGGTTCAAATTGTGGTTTAGCTGTGAACACATTGGTTAATCTGAAACAATGGTGGGGGCTGCATGGCCCTCATGATGTTACTGGGTGGTTATTGGTGTGTTTTTCAAATTTATTTTTTACCCTCTGTCCACCCTAGGGTCCCTATTTTAAAATTTAAAAACAGCTGATAAAATTTACAACCAGAAAACTACCACGAGTCCTAAAGATCTGCATCCTAAGTGTCAAAAGACCAGTTTGAAGTGGACCGCAGCTCAGACCATTGGCCTTGCTGATGGTAGCTTGAGTCCAGCCATATCTAGAGCAGAACTTGGGTCTCCAGCTGTTTTTGCACTACAACTCCCATCATCCCTAACTAGCAGGACCAGTGGTCAGAGATGGTGGGAGGCCCAAGTTTGGGAAGCACTGAGGGTCACAGGGTCCCCACACCTGGCCCAATGTGACCTAGGATTTCCTAGCCTTGGCCACAGTGCGTGAAATGGTTGCCTACCTTATAGGGTTGTTGTAAGTACCACTGAGCTCCTCTACATTAGCTGCAGTTAAGTCAGTGGTGGTGAACCTGGGGGTCCCCTTCCCTTTGGGACAACTTTCCCCAAGCCATAGGCAAGTCATGGGCGGGGGCAGAGGCAAAAGTGGGTGGAGCGATGAAGGCAAATTTCCTCATTATACAGTAGGGTAGTTTCTGCAAGCATTCACACACCTCTCTCTCTCTCCCTCTCTCTCTCTCTCTGCCCTACATCCAGAAAAGCAAGGAGTATTTATCAGAGTTCATGGGCATGTTCTAACAGGGCAAAAACTCTCAAGGAGGGACTGAAGCAGAGCAAGTCAGGAGTGTGGCCTGGGGAGAATCATGAGGGCCAGGTAGAGGAACTTTGAGGGCCACATTTGGCCCCTAGGCCTAACACCCCTACTCCTACGTTAAGTCCCTCTGGTGAATGTACTCTTCTCCACCTAGTTGGCGAGAACAGGCTTTGCCTCCTCTCCCAAAGTGGGTCTTAAACTAGCTTGGTAATAATTGCAGGCAGAAATATATATCTGGCAGAGGGTATCTAGTCACAGGTGGTGCAAAATGCCCAAGAAGAATGAAACGAAACTATAAATCCTTTCTTCTGCCAAACCCTCCATCAGTTTGAAAAGTAGGCTTCTGCACGTTCAAAACGGCATAATAATAGCATCCTAGTGGTAATTCATATGTGCCCACACATAAGAGAGGCTGTAAACAGGTGTTTTGTTCACTGTTCACTTTATCTCCAGTTAAGTCACCTGGAAGCTTAACCGCTTGCAGTAGGACATGTTGGAACCAATGTATTCTTAGGGGCTAGCACCATAGTTGCAAATTTTCATCGTGAATTAAGATAAATTTTGGTATTTCCCCAAGTCCCCCCCCTTTCGATGTCTGAAACCTGTCTCATGCGCACAGACACACCCCTGTCAAAACCAAACTTAGACCCCAATCCCCCAGGATGAACATTCACCCCAGAATAATTTAATTGTTGTCGCAGCCTAGGGTAATCCCGGATCATAGCGGCACCTTTAACCAATTTATTGGGCCATGAGCTTTTGTCGGCCAAAACCCTCTTTCTCAGATGCTTGAAGTGGTCACGTCAGAAGGAAGAATTCAAAACTCAAAATATCACATTTGCAAATCCAGGCTTTGAATCCCGAAATGGAAAAATGTGGGTTGCGTGACATGCATTTCCACACGCATATTTGAAAAATGAGAATGGGAGGTGGGGGTGGTGATGATGGGGGGAAATCCTTCCCCCTTCTTTTATTTTCTCAGATGAAGTTTGCAACTCCCATCCCCCCCCCGACCCAATATCTGCCTCGGAAGCTGGTATGGGGGACATTCTTGGCCCTGTAACCCCCTGAACTTGTGGGGGTGCTTCTGGAAGGGGTTCAGCTGAAAGCGGGCTGGCCGCCCCAAAATATATCCACACCCTGGCTGAGGGCGCTGCTTGAGGAGGAAGTTGGCAGCCCCCTGTATGAGCCAGCCTCCGAGGCGGAGGTAGGAAACTGGGGTTTTTTTTCCAGAGAGAAAGGTCAAACTGTCTCTGGGCAGGCGGCGTCTGGTTCAAATGAAATCCAGATGGGGTCTGAGAGGGCCTCGGGATCCCACAGAATCCAGCCCCTCCACACTGGCTCCCATCCAAGGCCTTCAAATCCCGGTTGTAGGGGAGCTGGGGTTGTTGGGGGGGGGGCTTTTGAGATGGCAGCAAGTGGGGAAAGAAGGGGGGGGGCAGACACACTTCAAGCCTCCCGCATACGGTTTCAACTAGCTCCCTGCAACAGTGCAATTTTCCTTTTCGTCTTTTGGCCTGCGCCCCGTTTCCTTGGCAACGGGGGTCCCTGCCAGCGGAGCCTGGGGCTTTGGGAAATGGCCCTTTAATTGGGTTCAGATGGCGGCCCCTCCCTGACAGTCTCTCTTATTTTCTCTCTCCCTCCCCCCCTTTTCTCCTCCATCCAACTGGATCCTTGTCTCTGGCCCACAAAACAGGGTGGAGGCCCCGAGAAGACTAGGCCAAGTTCAGGGGGAACTTTCTAAGCCCACGTCCCCCCACCCCACAAAAAAACCTTTTCAGAAGCTTTTGTTTCAAAAAGGGAGGCGAGCCTTTGGCTTTCTTCCTCCACCTGCCCCTCAGCCCAAGGAAGGTGCAAGCTGGGAGGGCAACTCCTGGCGGCTAGATGGGAGCCACCACCCCCCCCCCATTTTGGGGCTTTTGCTGCAGAGCAAACCAAAGCCCATCTTAGCCCAGAATATCCTGCTTCCAACAGAGGACAGCCTGGTGCCTCTGGAAAGCTCCCAAGTGCAGCAGCTCACCTTGTTGTTGTTTTAAAAAATCCTAGGCACATGGCATTCAAAGATATACTGCCTCTGTTCATGGGGTTTTTATTTAAGTCGCAAAATGGCAATGCAAAAAATAAAGTATGCAATCTGACCTGGTGGGTTGCAAGCTTCCTTTACGACCCATCAAGAGCAGTATTGTCTGTTGCCGCCTTTGCAAAATTCATGTTTTGGATTACAACTCCCATCAACCCCAGCCAGCACCAAAGGCCCACTAAGCCCAGTGCCCAGTTCTCAGCAGCTGCCAACCAGACACCTATGGGAAGTTCCATTGGTGGAGGCAGAACATTGGGATAGAGTGCCTCTGAACCTGCAGGTTCTATTTAGTTACAGTGCAGCAGTTTTGTTTGCCTTTTTGCCTTCCCAGATACAAGGCTGCCAGTCTATTTGTGTGTGTGTTTGTGTTCTTGACTAGGGACGCGGGTGGCGCTGTGGGTTAAACCACAGAGCCTAGGACTTGCCAATCAGAAGGTCGGCGGTTCGAATCCCCGTGATGGGGTGAGCTCCCGTTTCTCGGTCCCTGCTCCTGCCAACCTAGCAGTTTGAAAGCACGTCAAAGTGCAAGTAGATAAATAGGTACCACTCCGGCGGGAAGGTAAACGGCGTTTCCGTGCGCTGCTCTGGTTTGCCAGAAGCGGCTTAGTCATGCTGGCCACATGACCCGGAAGCTGTACGCTGGCTCCCTCAGCCAATAAAGCGAGATGAGCGCCGCAACCCCAGAGTCGGCCACGACTGGACCTAATTGTCAGGGGTCCCTTTACCTTTACCTTGTGTTCTTGACCTACCACCTCCATTCTTGCCCTGCCTTCCGGTTTTGCCAATTTCCCTTAATTCTCTCCCACACAACCACACATGCATTGCCCTGCGAGTACCGCACAACATCTTCCAGCCGCACCACCCAGGCAGGAAACAGTTGCTGCTCATTCCCGCTGAATATTGGCAGATGTTGGAGCGAAACAGGGTGCTGGGGGTGGGTTGTGTAGTGCAGTCTTCCACCAGGCTGCAGCTCCCATCAGCTCCATTTTTGCAGTTCACAACAGCTAGAAGGCACCAGGTTGGCAACAGCTGGTGTAATGTGACAAGACTGGGTTGGATGGAGAGTTGAGGTGTGAGCCATTTGGGTGCTGTGATCCCTGTCGAGAAAGAAGATGACGGAAAGCAGTGACGGGAGCAGAGAGGTCACAGCCACACAATCTCTTTAAATCACTTTTGCCCCACTTTAAGAGTCATGGGGGAAACTGGGAAGTGTAATTTGTTAAAGGCACCTTGTTTGTTTATTTGTTGCATTCAGATGAGGCTGAGCAGGGTTTTCAACCCTTCCAGGTACTAAGTCCGGCACTCTTAACCGCTATGCAATCGCTGGTTCTTGAAACTACAATTCCCAGCACCCTTAGCAAACTACAATTCCCAGGATGTGGGTGTGACCAGAGAGAGAAACTTTAAATTAGAAGCAGCTGTCAGTAGAGAAAGGGTTGCAGGGCAGAGAAGAAGAAATGAACTTTCATCTTTCTTTTTCTCCTCTTTATATCTTTATCCAAATATTTGCTGTGTGTATGTATTTTGTTTTTTCTAGGGAAAAAAAGAGAGGATACCTCTTCCTTTATTTGACTTGTGGGTAGTCGTCCCCCCCTCCCCAGCCAGCTATATTTAATATCCATCCCATGGGGTTTGGGTTCTTTGCTTTCTCTCTCTCTTGACGTATGCAGGATGCCATAGGCGAAAGGAAAGCAGGCCCTTGGATCCTCCTTCCAGAATTCTTTGTTGCTGAAAAACCTTCCTTTTTGCTGCTGCTGTTGGTGGTGGTGGTTCCGCTTTATTGCTCAGGCCCTCTCTTGGATTAATTTGACAATCGGGCTGCATATTTGGTGTAATGAATTCAGCTACTGCTAACTGTGGGGAGGAGGAAGGTAGAAAGATAGCAACTCAGTAAGCTAGTTTATATTGAGTCAAAGCCTTGGTCCGCCCTACACTGACTGGCAGCAGCTCTCCAGTGTTTTAGACTGGGGGTGTTTCCACCTGTATCTGGAGATTCAACCTGAGACCTTTTGCAAGCAAAACAGTTGCTCTGCCACAGACCTATGACCCTCACTGCTTTCTTACTGTTAGATGTTCTGATCAGCCATCTGTTGGCTCATGGCTTCACTAGGGTGTTCTCAGTTCCTTCAAATCATTTATACCGGGGGAAACTCCCAATAAAAATAACTAATCCTTGCCTTTAGGCTTACAATCTAAAAAAAAGGCATAGCATGAAAGGAAAAAGGGAAGGAGAGGGAAGAGGAAAATGCATGTACCCGGGCACTAAATTCTTACTGTTACAAGGCTCTTACAATGACCAATTGGTATAGAAATGAGCTGCTCACATGGCTCTTTAAAATTTAACTGTGTTAGTCAAATGGAAACTTGCACATATACCCAAATGCTTTTACCGCTTCGTGAAACAGCATGCAGATTGAGGTCCTCTTCAGAGCCATAGAAGCTAGAAAGCTTTTGCTTTTTTTCAAAAAAGATGGTTCACAAGACATCACATTGGTGCGTAAGACAACCACGGGATTGCATGCAGTTTAGCAAATTGTGTTCCCTTCTACTAGTAGAAAGAGGTGCTCATATTACTACCTGTCTGTGGTCTGTTGGCCTAAAAGTATATCTGCCACTTTCTGGTAAACTTATGGTAAACCTGCAAGCTTGGTTTTTTTTCTATCGCTCTTGGGACAGCTAAGCAGAGAATCACTTGCACATTAGATTATCCTCTGTCACCTTCAAGGTCTCCAAATTCCATTGGTCACACCCACACTTAAAGCACTTTGATATCCCTCAAAGAGTCCTAGAAACAGTAGTTTACCTCTCTAGAGAGCTACAGTTCCCAGGATTCGTTTGGGGGAAACCACACGTTTTAAATATACGTTAAATGTGTTTTAATTGTATGGTGTGGATGTGACAATTATGTTTTGATCCTTATTGATTTATTAACGTGCCCACATGCTACATCTGTCAACAGCTAGTGGAGAATGGAGCCCCCATGTTCGAGAGCAGTATACCTTTGATTGCCAGTTGCCGCGGTGGGGTGGGCAAATAACTGGAAATGGCTATCTCTGTCTTGTGATCTTACTAAGCTGTTAGAATGCTGTGGCCAGGTATACCTTTGATTGACTCCAACATGGTAGTTCTCTCTCTCTCTCTCCTTTTCAAATTCATACATTTCATTAATTTTACAAACATTTTAACATTTCAACGTTTCACCATTTCCGCATATTCCATAAGTTTTTGTATCCATTCTTCCTTTGCTGGGACTTCTGCTTCTTTCCATTCTGGGCGATTAACATTCTTGCTGCTGTAGTCACATACATGAATAAATTTCTATACAATTTAGGTAGTTCTGTCTCTATAATTCCCCAAAGAAAATCTTCTGCCCCCCCCCCCGTTGTTTTAAGCATCCTTTTCAATTCATTATATATCATTTCCCAGTAGGCTTTAACCTTACCGCAAGACCACCACATATGATAAAAAGAACCTTCATTCTGTTTGCATATCCAACACTTGTTTGATTTAGATTTATACATACCGTACATTTCTGTGTATAAGACTAGGTTTGTTTACTAAAAATTCATGTGAAAAATGGGGGGGCGAGTCTTATACACGAATAGTGCATAGTGGGAACATAGGATTGGTTGCTGCTGCAAGCCGGAGATTGTCAGCAGCTATAGGGCATGTTATTGGTGGCTGCGGCAAGTGCTGATTTTTATTGGCTGTTGCTTGACAATTGGGCGGTACAATAGCTGGCTCTTGCGACGCGTGCGAGTGGCAGCGCAGGTCATGCAGGTGAGCGATTTTCTGTAATACCCCCCACAAAAAAGCTCAACAACTTCCTTTTCTTAATTTTTAGTCCCCCAAAATAGGGGGCGTCTTATACACAGGAACAGGGACGCGGGTGGCGCTGTGGGTAAAAGCCTCAGCGCCTAGGGCTTGCCGATCGAAAGGTTGGCGGTTCGAATCTCCGCGGCGGGGTGCGCTCCCGTCGTTCGGTCCCAGCGCCTGCCAACCTAGCAGTTCGAAACCACCCCCGGGTGCAAGTAGATAAATAGGGACCGCTTACTGGCGGGAAGGTTAACGGCGTTTCCGTGTGCAGCTCTGGCTTGCCAGAGCAGCGATGTCACGCTGGCCACGTGACCCAGAAGTGTCTCCGGACAGCGCTGGCCCCTGGCCTCTTAAGTGAGATGGGCGCACAACCCTAGAGTCTGTCAAGACTGGCCCGCCCGTACGGGCAGGGGTACCTTTATACACAGGAAAATATGGTATTTGCCAGTTTCCTCAGTGTTAAATACCAATGATATACAGTGGTACCTCAGGTTAAGTACTTAATTCGTTCCGGAGGTCCATTCTTAACCTGAAACTGTTCTTAACCTGAAGCACCACTTTAGCTAATGGGGCCTCCTGCTGCCGCTGCACCGCTGGAGCCCGAATTCTGTTCTTATCCTGAAGCAAAGTTCTTAACCTGAAGCACTATTTCTGGGTTAGCAGAGTGTGTAACCTGAAGCGTATGTAACCTGAAGCGTATGTAACCCAAGGTACCACTGTATCATTTTCAACCAACATGGTGGTTCTCATCTCTTTCTTTCCCCCCTCTATCTCTCTTTTTACAGACCTGGATGCGGACAACCTCCCTGCCTACTGTTCACTTGCCCTGGGAGACCCACCTCCCTACACCTCTCCCCTGGGAATCCCCTGCCCTCTGCATCTCGGTGGGGGCCGTGCAGGCATGCACTCCCCCCCACCCCGGCCGGCCGACTTGGACGGCGACACCTTTGAGAGCCAGCCCGCCCGGCGCGTCCGCCTCGGAGGCTCCCGTGTGCTGGAATGCCCGAGCATCCAGATCACCACCATTTCGCCAGGCCGGCGGGCCGAGGAAGACGACTGGGACTCCTCGCCTCGTGACTACCTCCTCTTGGAGGCTTTCGGGGGCTACCGCGAGACCACCCCGTCTTCCGGCTTCTTCACCCCAAGCCCCGCCAGCAGCGGCAGCGTCTCGCCTTGGAGCTTCTTTTCGGACGACGAAGCTCCCGCCGGGGACGATGTGGAGCGGGAGCTGAACGAGGCAGCGGCCCGCTTTGCCCTCAGTTCCCCCTTGGGTTCTCCCCGGGGCTCCCCCAAGCCATGGTCGCCCGCTGACGAGTCGTGGCAGCCTTACGGCGCCAGCTATTCCCCGAGCCGGGGCACAGAGGATGGATGGATGCTCCTGGGCCCAAGGCCAGCTTCACCCTGTGGCAAGCGGCGGTACTCCAGCTCTGAAACTCACTCTTCGGCATCGCCGTGCCTCTCTCGGAGGGGCAGCCTTGGAGAGGAGACCCCGGGGGAGACCGTGGAGGCAGGAGGCGACACGGCGCCCTTCAACTGTACTGGAGCCCGACCGGCCGAAAGCATCCCCCAGAAAGCCCGGAAGACCTCGACCGAGCAGACAGTGGCCCTGACCAGGAAGGAGGAAGGGAGCTGCAATGGGGAGGATGGGGGCTACGGACTTGGCGTGGGGCGCAAGGAAGGAATGGATTACCTGGCAGTGCCTTCCCCGCTGGCCTGGTCCAAAGCTCGCATTGGAGGTCACAGCCCTGTGTTCAGGTAAACCAAGACTCTAACGCTCTTTAAAGTTTGTATAAATGGTTCCCTTCTTCCTTCCATGCAAGGATGTTGAGAGTTTGGGTTGGAACCGTGGCCTGAGAGAGGGTTTCTAAAAGCGGTCATCCAGGTGGCTTGGGGCGATTCCCAAGCAAGGCATGATGGGAATATCCGTCTTGTGATGCTTATCTCTCGATCTTGGTAGCTGGAGGTGGATGGCTTTGCGAATGTGGAGTTACAAGTTGGACAGATCCCTAACACACACACATTATTAAACCAGTCTGGGAATTGTAGCTCTGTGAAGGGAGCAGGGATCTCCTAACACCCCTTAGCAAACTGCAGTCCCCAGAATTCTGTGTGGCTTCCAACAGGATATTAAAAACACAATAAAAGATCAAACATTAAAATCTTCCCTAAACAGGGCTGCCTTCAGATGTCTTCTAAAAGTCAGATAGTTGTTTATTTTATTGACATCTGATGGGAGGGCGTTCCACAGGGCCGGTGCCACTACTGAGAAGGCCCTCTGCCTGGTTCCCTGTAACCTCACTTCTCACAGTGAGGGAACCGCCAGAAGGCCCTCGGCCCTGACCTCAGTGTCTGGACTGAAAGATGGGGTTGGAGACGCTCCTTCAGGTATACTCGGCCGAGGGCGTTTATGAGCTTTACGAGAGTGCTTTAAATGTATTGTGTGGATGGGGCTTTGCTTCTTATCTTCCTCACATGTAGTTCTTTAGTTCACCTCTGGACTATCCATAGTTTACAGGCAGGATTGTGGAAATTTAGGTTTGTGCAATTTAAAGTGGATTAAAGTGCTCTGGAGCAGCAAATCCACTTTTAAAAAATGGACTTTGGGCTCACAGGGCTCACAGGTTCACAGGGATGGGGGAAATGCGCTAAAACGTGTAGTGTGAACAAATGAACAATAAGAAATGCTGGGCGCTCCCCCCCTCCAGCAGGAGCTTACTAGAGCTCAGCTCTGGCACCTCTCAGGTGGGCACCATTGTGATTCTAAGAGAGCATGGGAGAAGTCCATGGTGAGCTCTGGCACCCTTTGCCCCCCTAGAAAAATAGAGCTGAGGAATTGTATAACCACTGCGCAAGCAAATCAAGATGAACCCTCTTTGTCATATAACCTGCCCACAAACAAATTAGAAGGAATGCTCAGTAACGCACAGGCGTCTAGCTTTTTCGTAAGCTTTGCGCAAGCTAATCAGGACGAATGCCCAATTAGCAAGGCATCTGGAGCAGCCCCAGCGATTGCAGATCTTGCTGCCCTCCTAGCGTGGATCCTAGCTATCTTCCTCTAGCATCCAAAGACCTTCACCTGAGCATGCCGTTGTCAGGAACTGCGGATGGGGGTGGAAGCCATGGCTCCCTCCCTCTCCCACCCTTAAGCCAGCCGGTTTGAATTTACCAGCGCCATTGCCGGCTCTGTGGTTTGGCTGCCAGAGTTTCTGTTGTATAAAAACAACTTGTCAGACCAGACCAGGCAGAAGGGCTGGTGTCTCCAGTTACACATCCCAGACCCCAGCTCTGCATGCGGTGCTGGGGGCGGACGGGTGGGAGCTGGCGTAAACACGCCGTGCCTTGTTCCCTGTTAAGGTAAGCAGCTGGATTGGAAGAATTTCTCCTGCATGGTGGATCAACGTCATGACCTTTGAGTTCGGGGGCAGTGGCTCCATCCATTCCCTCCTCCGCCCTGTTTGCAGCTCCAAAGCCCATAGCCAGCAATATCCCGCCAAGCCAAGTCCCCCTTTTCTTCAAAGCAGAACTTAGCATCTCTTAAGCCAAGCTTGTGAATGCAATGGGTTAGCTTGCGACAACAACCCCACGAGATCTAAAATACAGTAGACCTTGCATATTTTGCCTTCTTGTTTGCAGAGGTTCCTATAAGGGTGATACTGGCGATTTCGGTCAGCCTTGCAAAAGCTGAGCTGCTGCATTAAAGGGACTAAATTTGCAAGTGCCAAACTGCTGAATCTAAGAGCCTCTGGGTGCATACACAGTACCAGCTTAAAGCGCAGTTGGTTGTCCTTTTTCCCAGCTGGTTCTGGGGAAAATGCGTCAAAACACACTACAGTGGTGCCTCGCAAGACGAAAAGAATCCGTTCCGCGATTCTCTTCGTCTAGCGGTTTTTTCGTCTTGCGAAGCAACCCCATTAGCGGCTAAGCGGATTAGCGCTATTAGCGGTTTAGCGGCTATTAAAGGATTAGCGGCTAAGCTGCTAAAAGGCTATTAACGGCTTAGCGGCTTAGAAAAAGGGGGGGGAAGCGAGAAAAAAATGGCGAGACTCGCAAGACGTTTTTGTCTTGCGAAGCAAGCCCATAGGGAAATTCGTCTTGCGAAGCGCATCGCAAACGGAAAACCCTTTCATCTAGCGGGTTTTCCGTCTTGCGAGGCATTCGTCTTGCGGGGCACCACTGTATTTCATAAGAAAGAACAAGACAGATACAGGAGAGAGATGGATTTTGGCTGACATGAATACACCACTTCCCAAAGTAGCAGTGGGAGGGCACTGGATACAGAGCAAATAGGAGCGTGTAGACAGCTTTCCCCCTTTCTTTTGGGAACTCTGCTTCTGCACATGTACAAGGTGGAAGGGTTTTGCAGGAGTCCTTGGCCAAACTCCCTCTGTATGCAAATTGAAGGAAGTCTCACAGAATAAGACACCCGGTTTCATAGCCTCTCTGCATGTAAAATCTATGGCTGGCTTCCTCAACCTCGGCCCTCCAGATGTTTTTGGCCTACAACTCCCATGATCCCTAGCTAGCAGGACCAGTGATCAGGGATGATGGGAATTGTAGTCTCAAAACATCTGGAGGGCCGAGGAAGCCTGATCTATGGTGTGGCCACTTCTTGGATACGGTGTACTCAGAAACCCGGTCTCTGAAACCGGACACAGAGGTTACAGAGAAGGGCGGCCAAACACATGGAACACCCGGTGTTTGGAAATGGCCTACAGTAGGAGTCCGCATATGTCTCAGGCTTGTATGGTCCACTTTGTCTACCAGCCAGAGCCAGGTGCAAGACTGTGGACCAGCCAGGGGAGCATATGCTGAGAGCAGAGTGGCTCTGAGCATATGCCTGATCCAGCAATTTGAGACCTATATCTAAACAGACCTCATAAGTCCTTTATCTCTCATTCACACCAATCCTGGTTTCTTCTCCGCCACCATTCTTTCATCACAGAGCTTTCCAAACTGTGTGTTGGCTGCAGTGTGAATGCTCCTTGTCCTCCTACCAGGGCTGGAAAGGGATTGGTTTAACCTCCAGTTTGCTAATAACACTGAATTACTGTGTCACAAAATGATGCATGTCTAAAAAAGTGTGTCACCCATATGAAAAGTTGGGGAAGCTCTGCTCAGGGCCGTCTTAAGCATATCTGGTGCCGTGGTGCAAAGATCCCTCCGGTGCCCCCCCCCTTCCCAGGGTGGCTCCTCCGGCGGGGAAGAGGCGGAGGCTCAGCTGGCCGCTTCGTGCTGCGGTGGCCACTGCAGGCAGCAAAATGAGCAAGCAGGCCTATACTGAGCAAGGGCTCGTGTGCCGCTCCCACCGAGCGTTGGCTAGCTTTTTTTCCTTTTAGCCTTCTGGTGCCCTGCAGAATTCGGCGCCTGGAGGCTAAAAGGGGAAAACCCTAGCTGACGTGTGGCGGGAGCACGCTCACTCACTCAGTGCGCTTGTTCAGTGTTCCCCAGACTCTTGCCTGGTGCCCTCCAGAACTTGGAGCCCCACGCCACTAGCCTCTATGGGTAAGACGGGCCTGGCTCTGTTTTATAGCATTCTCACTTGTTGCTGCTGATAGTCAAGTGGGAGTCCGGAACGCTTGCTGAATTACTTCAGATCCCCCAGAGGTCCACCAGTAGCTCCTGATTTGCCTTCTGTCCACCCCAAATCTTAAGCATTTGAAGCTTTTCAGTTGTTGTTTTTAAAATATATCATTACAAGGGCAGCTTCATCAGATCACACGTGGTGTAGAGCAAGAGGTAGCCAACATAGATGGTCCTTTAGATGTTCCTGGAGCACAACTCCCATCTCCCCTGATCATTGGCCATTGTCCATGCTAGCTGAGGGCTGATGGGGAATTGGGAGTCCAATAAACATCTGCAGGGACAGCCCTGGAGAAGAGAAGGCCAGTAATAAGGAACTGCCTTTCCCAACAGCTCTCCCATAACTTTATAACTCTGGGTTGCCTAAAAAAACAAGGATTGGCTGACATTTGGGACAGGCCAGAGGGCTTCTTTGTACAACGCACAATTAATTTGCAAAGTACGGCAGCCTTTTGTGTTTTAAGCGCACTGGCCTGCTAGCCAGTGGTGGCAAGCAATTGCATGCAGGAGGCTGCAGAGCAGGGATGGGGAAGCTGCGATCTTCCAGATGTTTGCAGGACTAGAGCTCCTATAATCACTGAGCATTGGCCATGCCCGCTGGCACCGATCGGAGTCCAGTATCGCCCAGAGAGCCACAGGTTCCCCATCCCCATTCTGCCTGGCCTTTAATTTGAATTCAGACTGCTCTTTTATTTCCCTTCTCTTCCCTCCTCCTCCCCTTTTATGAAGATTACCCGCTCTGAGACCCCACAGCTAATTCTCCCCTGGCCTCCTTGCTGGCCCAAGTAGGACTAATTCAGCCAGCTAGCCCTGGTGACTATCTAATGCTTATTGGATGGATTTCCCCCAAATTGATTTCTGAACTTTGAATTTTATTGTTATTCATGTTTTTATACTGTACAGTGGTACCTCGGGTTACATACGCTTCAGGTTACGTTACGCTTCAGATTACAGACTCCGCTAACCCAGAAATATTGCTTCAGGTTAAGAACTTTGCTTCAGGATGAGAAGAGAAATTGTGCTCCGACGGCGCAGCAGCAGCGGGAGGCCCCATTAGCTAAAGCGGTGCTTCAGGTTAAGAACAGTTTTAGGTTAAGTACGGACCTCCGGAACGAATTAAGTACTTAACCCGAGGTACCACTGTATTTTATGCTGCTTCTACAATTAAGTGTTTTAAATTTGTTTTAGCCGCCCTGAGCCTGGTTTTCTGAACCAGGAAGGGTGGGGTATAAATAACAATTTATTATTATTATTATTATTATTATTATTATCATCATCATCATCATTATTATTATCCCTGCTGTACAGGCTAGTGAGTTGTATCACTCCTCTGCAGCCAGCGTAGAAACCGAGTCCATTGCCCGGGGTTGGCGAGAGGCACTTTTCCATCTGCAGAATGTTGTAGGAAGGACAGAGAGCTCTCTGCAAGGCTAGTAACTTTTGTGGAGTTATATATAAGGCAGATTGAATTTGAGACCACATGGTGGCCACTGGTTTGTTTAGATAAGGACATAGGAGGACCCTATGGCCCACCTAGTCTAGCATCCTGTTCTCACTGTGGCCAGCCAGGGTCCTATGGCCAGGTCACAAGGAGGACCTGCATGTAATAGTGTCTACTTTTGATTCCAGTAACTAGTATTCAAAGGGATATTGCCTCTGGCAGGAAGGCGAAGATGGTCACTGTGGTTAGGGGCAAATGGATATCCTTATCATCCATGAATTTGTCTAATTTGTCTAATCATCCTTTAAAGCTATCCAGGATGGTGGGCATCACAGCTTCTTGTGGAAGAGAGTTCCACAGTTTAATGATGTGCTGAATGGAGAAGCACTTTCTTTTGTCTGCCCCGAGTCTAGCAATGTTCAGCTTCGTTTGAGAAAAACTCTCCATTCACTTCATGCCGTCCATCATTTTATAAACTTCCATCATGCCTCTTCGTACTGTGGTACCTCGGGTTACATACGCTTCAGGTTACAGATTCCGCTAACCCAGAAATAGTACCTCGGGTTAAGAACTTTGCTTCAGGATGAGAACAGAAATCGTGCTCTGGCGGCAACAGAAGGCCCCATTAGCTAAAGTGGTGCTTCAGGTTAAGAACAGTTTCAGGTTAAGAACAGACCTCAAGAACGAATTAAGTACTTAACCCGAGGTACCACTGTACTTGACTTTTCTCTAGCTGAGAAGCTCCAATTCACAGAATCATGAGAGCTGTAGAATTGGAAGGGACCCTGAGGATCATCTGGTCCATCTCCTGTCCCATGCAGGGATCAAACTTGCAACCCTGGTGTTATCGCCACCACACTCTAACCAATGGAGCTACCTCAAATTCTGAGCTAAAAACTCAGGTTGCAACCTTTCCTCATAGGGTAATTCCTCCCTCCTCTTGATTGTTTAGGTTGCCTTATTCTGAACCTTTCCCCCCTCTGCAATGGACCAGTTCATGGAGAATCGATCTAGCTATGGCAGTTACCTATGATGGCAAAACAGATCATGTTTTGAAGCTGCGTATCTCTAGATACACTAACATGAGCTTGACCAAACTGCGGGAGGCAGTGGAAGACAGGAGTGCCTGGTGTGCTCTGGTCCATGGGGTCACGAAGAGTCAGACACGACTAAACAACAAAATCTCTAGATACAAGCTACTGTGGACAAACTGTGAAGGGAAGGGCTATAGCTTGGTGGTGGAGCATCTGCTCCTTGGGCATCTCCAGGTAATCCTTAGGAGAAGCCCCTTTCTGAAACCTTGGATACCTGATGCCAGTCTCTATAGCCAATAATAAGCTATACTGTATACAATTTGACTTGTACATCTTCCTATGCTTTTATGTTCTCCTTGTGGGCTTCCAAAGGCCTCTGATTGGCCACATGTAAGAGAGGATGGTTGCATGGTATGGTTCTTAAGTCTGAATCCAGCAGGGATCATGATCTGGAGCAAGAGAAGTGTGAAATGGGTAATCTTCAGGAGTGTGCTCTGAATGAATGCCTATGTGAAAAGTTATCTGGCCTCTGACTAGCCCCTCAGCTACGGCAAGCTCAAAATTGGTGATGAACAAGCCAGGAGAAAAAATATATATATTTGAAATACGTGAGGGCTAGTAACTCATTGTAGATCCCTTTGCAAGGCTTGCGATTTATGTTCTTAAATATTACTAACTGCAAACTTGGGGAAGGAGGCTGGAGGTTCTGCACTGAGTGCCTTGTGAGCGTTGTAGGTGGGGAGAAATTTAGCTGGTCAAATCTTATGTGCCTTTTTAATAGTTGTTTTGAAGCATGAACTCTGGTAGTGCCATCTTCCCCTGCCATCCTTTTGCAGCCAGGATGGGGGGAGCTTCACCCACCATCCATTGGAATAGAAGCCACAGCATCATGGTAGATCGCATGCTCTACATGTGTGATGTTCCAGGTTCGATTCCTGACATCTTCAGTTCAAAGGAGCAAGTGCCATAAAAGACCACTGCCTGAGATCCTGTCAGTCAGAGTAGAAAATGCTGAGTGAGCTGGGTAGACAAATAACGTGGTTTGTTACTTAACAGCTTCTTGTGTTCCAGTTTCCTCTTTGTTGCAGCTATGTATTAAAGGTACATGAGTCCCCTGCTGCATTCCTGTTTGGGTTGCAAGCAGGAGGAGGTCGGACGCGGTCACTTCCAGTGCCTAAGTCGTCAACTTCATGGTCCTTCCTTTTACCCATTCCCCAGGTCTTCTGCTCTCCCCCCTCTGGACTGGCCTCTCCCCAGTCAGTACGAACAGTATGAGCTGAAAATCGAGGTGCAGCCCCGAACTCACCACCGAGCCCATTACGAGACGGAGGGCAGCCGGGGTGCTGTGAAGGCCGCTCCAGGAGGACATCCTGTGGTGAAGGTATCTGAGGGGCGGTGGGAGCTAACAAGAACCGGGATAAGAATGGGACCAGGGGGTTGGTTGGGTGGGAGGAGCGACAATGAACTGAAAGAAAGTTCCCACTTCGCATCTCTCCTGCAACCACAGTCTCACAAAACGACTGTAGGCCAGGCATAGGGAACTCATGGTCTTGAAGTCATCGGACAACAACTCCCATTATCCCATGAACTTTGGCCCTGCTGGGAGCTGGAGTTCAAAAACTTCTGGAGCATTGAAATGTATGGAAATGTGGAAAAGGCAATAATGCACTCTTCTACGTATCATGGTTTCATCTTAAAAGTGGGCCGAGAGTACACCTGAGCATGTGTAGAGTATATTTATTCTCACCACATAATCACAGGCTCCACCTCCATATTTGGGATAGGAGCTGGTAAGGCTTTCAGGCTGAGGGTTGGCTGCCACCTTTGCCATTTAGCCAGGTAAAGCCAGTTTTGCTTTCGACACCATTTATTCCGTAAGAGCTCATATGCATTTTTTTTATTTTCTGCTATTGTTGTTATTTTTTAAAGCCTTCTCCTCTGCTCCCAGCCTCCAGGGAGCTTGTTGTCAACGTAGTTTTTTTTTTAAAAAAATACATATATAAATATCTCGGCATTTTCAGCCAAGCTAATCCAGAAGGGAAACTTCCTTTTTTTTCTTTTTCTTTTAATTCTCTTTTCTTTGAGGGCTGGTTTGAAAGTCTCCATCCAGAAATTTGAAAGATGAAAACTATTCCCACTTCAAAGGCTGCTTGCGGGGGCCAAAAAAAGGAAAAGAAAGAAAGACAAATGTCACGGATTTTGTTTGCAACAAATTGTGAAATAGCCGCCCGCTAAATTTAGATGAGTGCCTTTTAAATAAGTGGGAAGGTTGAAACTTTTAAAAAACAAAACCAACCCACGGCTTTATGAGAGTGAGGGGGTGATATTTGGGCTGCTTGTTCTTATAGTGACAGGAAGGTTTGATCTGTGTGTGCGTGTTTTTGTGCTGTGATTGCAACTTTCCCTATACTGTACTCCATCTCTTTGTATCCTAGTTTCCCCAAATTACGATGTGGAGATCTATATGTACATTTTCCTAGGACTGGGGTGGGGGGGAGGTTGGCATGAAAAGCTGAGGTCCGTCCTTTCTCTCTTCTCGTTGCCTCCACCTCCCCCCCCACTCCATTTTTGTGTGTGTATCCTTCCTCTTTCATTCCCCATCACATTCCCCTGTAGCCAGGATCTCGGGGCTGCCCTTTCCCACGCTCTCATCTCAGATTCGCAGCGCTGGTCTCCTCCTGCATCCAGCCCCTCTGCGTCACTCTTAGGGATAGCGAGTCGGAGTGTGGAGTGTTTGTATGTGCGCACGTGGGACAAATACCCCCACCCCTTGCTCCATATGCTTTCTGGCAAATTCCACTCCTCTTCTGCAGGCGTTCAGAACTTGCCCTTCCTTGCAGAGAGGCAAACCCTCCGTTTCCTAAAGCTGCGCCCCCTTCCCCCTTTCTCCTGCCATCTCCCTGCTTCCCATTCCCCACCCCGCCCTTTCCAAAAGTTGGCATAGGTTTCTGCAGGTTCCAAGGCCGCTTCCACTGCCCCCACAATCCTTCGGGCCTCAGATCCTTCCATCTTCCGTGGCATGAGTGGGGAGGGGAGAGGTAAAAACGGAGCATTTTCCTTTAAGGCTCAAATCGACTGCAGCTGGAAGTCTTGGCCTCTGATTGGAAACATCTGGGCGTCCCTGAGGCAAGACCACCGATGTCTCCAGCTGCAGTGGCCTTTGCCAAAGAGGGTGGCTGGTAAGGAGGCGGTGGAGACAGGGAGTAATCAATATGTAAGACACACAGAGCTCTTTTCATGGAATAGAGGCCCACCTTCCAGGTCTGTGATTGCACAACTTAATTTAAGACAGGGATTAGTCCCCATAATTTATTTTATTTTTTAAGACTGAATTAAGTCTCCGGAGAATTTGAAGCAAGCATATTTCATATCCACTGCATTGATTTTTATTTCTTTTAATGACAGCTGAACCTTCTCCTTCAGCTGCTAAGTGTTTATGAACATTCTGTGACATCATAGCCACAGGGTCTTGGACAGACTGTTTCCTAGCCCTGCTGTCTCTGAACCTTCTGAAGTGGTGATGGCCAGGAATTTGAAACTGGGACTTTTAAAACATGCAGATCCGTGACCACCCATTGCGGGTTCTTCTCGCAAGGAAATGAACCGGGCCACCCCTTTGCCACATTCAGAGCATCTGCCATGACGCAGCGTCACAGAATGTTCAGAAGTGGACGGGGAAATTCACATGTGAGATGTCCCATTACAGAATGCATTGGCTGGGGATGGTGGCCAGATTTTGGCGGGGATGATCGCTCAAGTCTCTTTGGCTGTGCAGGAAAATGTCTGGGGTGACTATTTTCTCCTAGAGGGGTGGCAATCATCACACTGATTTTGCCACATCCTCAGACGAACTCAAAAGCTCGGTCCGCGGTCACGGCAATAAGATGAGATATTTTATATCGGAGAAGCTTACCGTTCTCCTTTCTCTCTCCACCCCAGCTTTTAGGCTATGATGAGAAGCCCCTTACCTTACAAATGTTCATTGGCACGGCAGATGAGCGGAACTTGCGTCCCCATGCCTTCTACCAAGTGCACCGCATCACTGGCAAAATGGTTGCCACCACGAGCTATGAATCCATCATCAATGGCACCAAGGTCCTCGAGATGTCCCTGCTGCCTGAGAATAACATGGCTGCCAAGTAAGAATTGCTTTGCGGGGCTTTTGAAGGGGGGGGGGTTGATGTGGTTGGCAAATATGCCCAATTATAAAAAAATATAGAAATCCCTCCTTACGTAGTAGCAAACCTGATTTTGCAACTGAGTATAGATGCTTAACGGGACGCGGGTGGCGCTGTGGGTTAAACCACAGAGCCTAGGACTGGCCGATCAGAAGGTCGGCGGTTCGAATCCCCATGACGGGGTGAGCGCCCGTTGCTCGGTCACTGCTCCTGCCAACCTAGCAGTTCGAAAGCACCTCAAAGTGCAAGTAGATAAATAGGTCTGGCGGGAAGGTAAACGGCGTTTCCGTGTGCTGCTCTGGTTCACCAGAAGTGGCTTTGTCATGCTGGCCACATGACCCGGAAGCTGTATGCCGGCTTCCTTGCCAATAAAGTGAGATGAGCGCCGCAACCCCAGAGTCGATCATGACTGGACCTAATGATCAGGGGTCCCTTTACCTTTAAAGATGCTTAACAGGGAGTAGCAACCAATTCTGTGTTGGATGAACATACTTAGTGAGTTTACAACACGCAGGGAGGTGGGTTTGTGCAATTTCAGAAAGGTAATATATTTACAGAGCAACAAGGTAGACCGTCCCCCAGGTTCCATCCCGTGCCACTCTCAAATTGAATGCACCCATTATTCTTGTTTTGTGGGTGCTTTGGGATGACTGAGTTTTAGAAAGGAGTACTGGATCGTCAACAGGCGCTATCACCCATCATGGTCAGGCAAGTGCCAGGGCCCAGTTGAGCTTTTGCAGGTCTCCAACTTCGTTTTCATAAAACCAGTGCAGCTGTTGCCTGCCATGTTCTTTTTCGCCATTTTCTTTACCCCATAATGCCTCTGGGTTTGCAGTGCAGTGGGGCTCAAGGCGTCCTGGGGGAAAGAAAATGCTGGGTGGCTGTACTTAGCCAATGCGTTCTGGTCTACCCATTGAAAAGAAAGAAAAAAGAAAAGGAAACCCTGTGTTGGGGGAATAGAAGAGGGCACTTGCAGAGAGTAACCCAAACCTGGCAGTGACCCTGATTTTCCCCAAGGCAAAATGTGTCCTAGTTATCAAATGTGTGTGTAGTTTCAGTTCAGCTCTAGGCAGGATTCTGATGCTGGTAGGAGATAGAAGCTGATGTAGCTGGTGTAGTGGTTAAGAGCGGTAGACTCGTAATTTGGGGAACCGGGTTCATGTCTCCGCTCCTCCACATGCAGCTGCTGGGTGACCTTGGGCTAGTCACACTTCGTTGAAGTCTCCAGGCCTCACTCACCTCACAGAGTGTTTGTTGTGGGGGAGGAAGGGAAAGGAGAATGTCAGCTGCTTTGAGACTCCTTAGGGTAGTGATAAACCGGGATATCAAATCCAAACTCCTCCTCTTCTTCCTTCTCTACTATTCTCAGGTGGGGTGAGGAACCCTTTTAGCCCAAGGGCCATATTTCCTTCCAGGCAGCCTTCTGGAGGCCACATGCCAGCGGTGGGTGGAGCCACAAGCACAAGGGGGAGGAGCTACCCTCTGGGGGCAGGTCCCAGATCTGGAGGGCAGATCCAGAAGGAAAAACGGGGAGGAGCAACAAGTGCAATGTTTAGCTTCGTACAGGAGCCATGTTTCTTGCTTATCCCTCCATCCACATGAGCAAGAAGCATCACCAGAGTTCAATGGAACATTCTAGCCGGGCAAAAGCACTCGAGGAGGGTGCAGAGCAGGCCTGGGAGGAAGGGGTGTGGCTAGGGTCCCAAGGGCCCAACATGGGTCTTTAGGACTCTACTTAACCCACAGGACTGAGATGTGCCATCCGTGTTTTGAGAAGGAGGTGTATAACGTGAACAGTGAACTGCCGTGGATTCACAGACAACTCCCCCTTCCCTTTCCCCCCCTGCACCAGTATTGACTGCGCAGGGATCCTGAAGCTACGGAATTCGGACATTGAGCTGCGCAAGGGGGAGACGGACATCGGGCGCAAGAACACGCGGGTGCGCCTGGTCTTCCGGGTCCACGTCCCGCAAGGAAATGGCAAGGTGGTCTCTATTCAGACTGCCTCTGTACCCATCGAATGCTGTGAGTGCCCTCTGTGGGTGTTCTGGGTGGGTGGTTGTGTATGGGAGAAGCAAGCCTCCATGTAGCTGCAGGGCTGTCTGAATCCCAAAGTCACATCCACACCAGACATTTAAAGCACTCTAATACCGCTTAACTGTTGCGCCCTCCTAAAAAAAAATGAGCATGGGAGCTGTAGTTTGTTAAGGGTGCTGTGGAATTGTAGCTCTGTAAGGGGTCTCCTAGCAACTCTCTCAGCACCTTTAGAAAACTACAGGCCCCAGGATTCTTTGCACAGAGGGAGCCATGACTGTTTGAAGTGGTATAATGCTACTCTAAATGTATAGTGTGGTTTAGATAGTTCAGACGACTTTACTTGATCAGTGCAACAGTGCCCCCTGGGGAATGCACAGGCCTGTGAGTTACATGGACTTATATAGAAGTGCATGCATACATAAAGGGCGATGTGGTGGTGTCACACACCATGCACTGGTGTGAAAGAAATAATTCAGCATCACTTGGCAGTGTATTGATCAAAAAGTCACATGGTGCAAGACGTAATGCGTTGTTAAAGGAACTGTTAGAAATTGGGACGGAAGCGTTAGCATTATAAATGCAATAATCCCTTCATCTGAATGTACCCATATCTCTAGAGATCAAGAAAAACAAAGGTGGAAAAAAGGTGATTTCCCAGAACACAATGCTGATTAGGCCAACTTATGCTGAGCCAGTTGTGAACACAAAATGGTGGCTGATTCATAAGATGCTAGGCCAGATGCATCATGGAAAAGGTGGATTTTAGAGAGAGGGGGGCGGGTGGGTGGATTTGGGGAGGCAGTTCCCTTGTACACTGGGTGTATTCGGTTCTTCATTCCTCTTAATGGAGCACTGCCTCAATTCCTCTTAAATGTGGCTGTGCTTGTGCAAGGTGATCTCTCCTTTGTGACCCCCCTTTCCTCTCCTGCGCGCAGCCCAGCGCTCAGCTCAGGAGCTCCCCCAAGTGGAAAACTACAGCCTCAGTGCATGCTCTGTACATGGCGGAGAAGAGATGGTGATCACTGGTGCTAACTTCCTGCCCGAATCAAAAGTTATCTTCATTGAACGAGGCCCCGGTAAGCAATGCGCAATTTTTAACTTGGGGCGATGGGGCGACAGCTTGGAGCATGGGTTGGTCATGACAATTGAGAGATGGAGCATCCATCTTCTGGGGCAGTGTACCACTAAATTGCCAGATGCTGGGGACAAATAGCAGGCGATGGCCATCTCCTGCACAGCCAGTTGGTGTGCTCTCCAGAGAAATACAGCAAGCCTTTAACACCTTTCAAATCCCCTGCCCTCATCATCCTTGTTAATAGGCCCTCCCCTCCACCTGATATTGGTCAATTGCTTTTGTTGTTGCTGTTTTGCTTCAGATGGAAAACTCCAATGGGAGGAAGAGGCAAATGTCAATCGGCTGAAAAGCACAGAGGTGAGAATTCTGGACAGTGATCTCCTCAGGTGGGAAGTGAATTTGCAGCCTGGCTTTTTCCTGTCAGGAGTGGGGCTAGGTTTATAAAACACATTTAGTGAGGAACAGGGAAAGACTTTTATTGAATGTGGATGACAGCAGGGAAATCCTGGGCTGGACCATTATGCTGATCACACAGAGACAAGTAATGAGTCTTTGCTATTGGAGAACAGCTGGTTTGTTGTTGTTTTTTTTAAAAAAACCTCCTTGTTGTTAATTATTATTGCCAGGAACAGGTATATTGAGGGGAAATGCACACATAAAGGCTCCTGGAGATTCAGCGCAGGGAAATAAGTCCTGGTAGTTTTTCTACTGATACATGCAACATCCAGGAAGGGGAAACTGTCTAGGTGCTGTTGGATTATAACTCCTATCATTTGTGGCTGGAGCCCAGTGGCATCTGAAGGGCCTCAGGATGCCCCTCCCCAGCACGAGTCAGATTTATTATTATTATTAAAACAATTAACATTGAAATAAATGGGATATAAAAGGGATAGAGAGATAAGGTGGGAAGGAATCAAATCCTGCCAAGTGGAACAGTCACTGACAGAGGCTGGTCTGGGAATGGGGAGTCCAATGGCAGTTGTTCCCAGATGAGTTGATGGAGTCGGCCTTGCCATTTCATCTTTACTTCATCTGCGGCCCAGTAGAATGGCTGACGGTGGCGCCCGCTTTGAGCTTGTACACAGAGCGGGCTTGAAAGTGTGTATATCCTCTCATGCTGGGAATTGAAACAGTTAAGTTTGGTTCTTTTCATGAGGAGCAGGAGGATGATATGAGGGAACCCAGAAATGATTTTGAGGATCTGAAGTGCTTCCGTAAACACCTGCTCATGAACTGTGGCTGGTTATATAGATAGGCGAACCTCCGTTTTGGCAATTTTCTACCGTGCAACACATCATCTGCTGCTTTTTCCCTGCTTCCACAGGCCTCTCTGACCCTCACTGTCCCCGAATACAGCAACAAACGAGTGTCTCGGCCTGTTCAGACCTATTTTTACGTCTCCAACGGACGCAGGAAAAGGAGCCCTGCTCAGGCCTTCAAATACTTACCTGGTACGTCAAAGTGTGAACTGGAAATGGGGGGAGGAATATTGAGGGGGTCTATGACTGCTAAATGGGACGCGGGTGGTGCTGTGGGTTAAACCACAGAGCCTAGGACTTGCCGATCAGAAGGTCGGCGGTTCGAATCCCCACGACGGGATGAGCACCCATTGCTCGGTCCCTGCTCCTTCCCACCTAGCAGTTTGAAAGCACCTCAAAGTGCAAGTAGATAAATAGGTACCACTCCGGCGGGAAGGTAAACGGCGTTTCCGTGCGCTGCTCTGGTTCGCCAGAAGCAGCTTAGTCATGCTGGCCACATGACCTGGAAGCTGTACGCTGGCTCCCTCGGCCAATAAAGCGAAATGAGCGCCGCAACCCCAGAGTCGGCCATGACTGGACCTAATGGACAGGGGTCCCTTTACCTTTATGACTGCTAAAAGTGATATTGATGGTTTTTCTTTCTCCCCCCTCCCTTTCCTCTTCAACCCACCCATCTCTTCCAGTGATCTTCAAAGAAGAAGCACTCCCAGATGCCCCACACCGGGGTTTCGCCCACACCACTCAGAGCTCTCCTTTCCCGCTACAGCCGGCACAGGGCGCCATGGATTTCTCTCCCTCCAGACCCCCCTTCCCTTACTGCCCCGAGCGCTCCCCGCCGTGCTCCCCCTACGGCCCCGACTGGAACCCTTGCTCCTTCTCCTCCCCCAACCACTACAACCCTGCCTTCCGTTTCCCTCAAAACGAGGCCTATAGGGGCGTCAACCTCTCTGTACCCCTCCTGTCTCCAGCGGGCCTGCCCCATCTCCATGCCCTAGAATGCCGTCCGCCCCACTTCCAGCCTCCCAGCCCACAACTCGGCGCTCAGCCACCGGGGCGGGGAGAGAACCGCAGCGGGGAGAGGACTCCGGAATGGACAGATCCAGAGCTGGGGTCCCAGGAACATAGCGCCAAAGAGCTGGAGAAATCGGGGTTCGATGGTGGCTTCCGGGATAACTTGCCCATCCATGGGATCACGCTGGAGGAAGGTAAAGCTAGAGCTGTGAAGGGGGCGGGGGGAAACACAAAAACATGTCTTTGCGTCTTCTCTTGAGATATATACAGATGATAGATAGATAGATATTGTCAGAATCGTGGTAATCTATGAACTGCCCCAGACTAGTGGTTTATGGAGGATGCATTTTTCAATACAGCCGTACCTTGGAAGTCGAACGGAATCCATTCTGGAAGTTCGTTCAACTTCCAAAACATTCGGAAACCAAATTGCAGCTTCCGATTGGCTGCAGGAAGCTCCTCTGCAATCCCAGGCCACAATATTCTGCAAGTTCCACCTGCTGATCTGCCTTACCTGTCCTAGGCCCCAAGTGGCCCCTGGGAAACATAAACTCAGCAGCACTGCTGGTGGTGTTATTCTCTTATTGCAGATGTTGAGTAGAGAAATTAAGAAATTTCAATTTGCCTAGGTCATGAACTTGCTTAGGTGAGCTTTGGGTAAGGACAGGCTGAGCAACTAATTCAGTCCCTCTTTTTTGTCTCTCAGGAGGTCAGCCATAGGTCTATTCTACTGTGTGTGTTCTAGAGAATGCACAGATTAGCCTTTTAATTTACTTAAAACACATGTTTTTAAGGTTAAAATATGCACTTTTCAGTCACTCACATGTAAAAGAAACCCACACGTTTTGCACGTCTTTTACATAAAAGGCGTCATTTTGTGCACACTTTTTGCACATGAGAAATGCAAAGCAAAATCTAGAGAACTGCATGATCTGTCTAGGAGCTGCACACCAACCCACAAGCAGGCTCAAGAGGACCAGATCCGTCTGCTGCAAACAAACAAATTCCTCCCCAAGCCCTAGGGGGGACCTTGAGTAGTTTGCCACTGAGCTCCTAAGGCAGCACTTATGAGGCTTCTCTCAAGCCCTCTCCATCTCGCCCACATTGGCCTCTTTTCTCTCCACAGTAACCGAGATCATCGGCAGGGACCTAAGCGACTTCCCCGAGCCCTCCTGCGAAGGCAGGCGGAGCTGAGATGCCGCTGGATTGCGGGGCGCTCTGATCTTCCAAGAGAAACCTGGAGCTTTGACCCATAGAAAGTTGGCAACACCAAAGATCACCCTGAGTGGCCAGTTTTCAGGGACTCTCTGCGTCCATGAGTTTTGCCTCTGACATTTTTCTGCCTATCCTTTTTATTCATTCATTCCGCCACTCCTTTCCTTTCCCTGCCAATGCTTCCATAAAGGGCCAAGTCAGCCTCAGAATGGCTATGGGTGGATCAAGGCAGTGGCTCTCTGTTCTCAGACGTCCCGGCAGAAGAAGCCTCAAAAGAAACTCACCAGCAGAGCTACCACTGCGGTGGCCACCTGTTTTTGTTCATCCATAGTATCTGGAGATATGCAGCATTCTGGACCAAGAAGTGGGCTTGCACATCTGGCTATCATGGCCCAGAGCGACCTTATCTTGTGACTCCTTAAAATGTATGCTATTGGCCAGTGTGGGGCCCTGTTGCAATGAATTCCATAGCCCAGCCTGGCCATCTAGGTGAGACCTTCCATTTGCCAGATTGCCCTTTCCCTTCTGCTCATCCGTCCACTCTACTGTGCATTTTCTCCACCTGCTCTCAGCCATGTCCGTCCATCCAAACCACCTCCCGTCTTCCCTTGGCATTGAGAAGGGTTCCAAGTTTCTCCTTGGCGGTGATGTCTAAATGACTTCTGAAATGGCTGGTGCCATAGGTTCCTGGAGACAGGGCTGGCCCGAGACATTTTGGCACCTGAGCTGAACCACAAAATGCCAGGGAGGAAAGGACTAGTGAAGATCTACATCAGGGAGGGTGGATAATGATCTGTCCTGGGAACAAGGATGGAAGGAGACCAGCAGCACCTCCTATTCAACAAGAGGAACTGAGGAAGCGATAGATCCGGCCTACAAGGAGTAGCAGGCAATGCATTCCTTGGAGGCCAGATCTGCTGCCCTTGTGTACCCTGAGGTGGTTGCATCCCCTTGCCTCATGGGTGGGCCGGCCCTGCCTGCAGAACCTTATCAGAAGGTTCCTTGGCTAGAGGAGTAGGAGCGCAAGGAAAGTTGCTCTCGAAAGGCAGAATGCCCCTGATTCCTGATCTTGCCTTCCAGTGGCAGGGAAGCGTCGTGTAAATTCTCCTGCATTTGTTCAGTTGCTTCAGGGCATTGTCAAGGAGTGCTAAGCCTGGAATGTGTCATTATATCAGGGCTGGGGAATCTTCTCCAGATGTTGCTGGACTCCAGCTCCCATCAACCCTGACCGTTGGCCGTGTTGGCCAAGACAGACAGCAGCTGAGTCCTGACAACTTCTGGACGGCCCCAAGTTCCCTATCCATGCCAGTACATTTCCCAGGCTTTGTTGTTTGCTTGCAGGTATTCCTTGTTGAATGCTCTGGGGGGGGGCTCTTTGGTAGGCCATTCTGTGGGTATGAGAAGCCCACGGCTCTCCAGATGTTCTCCCACCAGCCCCAACCAACATGACCTGTGGTCCAGGGTGATGGATGTTGGAGTTGAACAGCAACATATGGAGACCCCTTATGTACCACCCTCTCCACCCCCTCCACCCGTCATCTCCTGTGGTGCAGTGATCCTTCTGAAGAACAGTCGTGATGAATTTTTTCCTCGATGGTTGCCAGTTTCCTTGTTCTGGAATTATTTTATAATTGTGCCCTTGCTGAAGAAGCTGCTGATGTGTGTGGAAGGGGAAAGGAACCGTACCACTGTTGTCCTCCCACCTTTAATATATATCCTTCCAAGTTGGTCCACGGGGATGGAAATCGTTTCCAGTCAGGAGAAAAAGCCATAAGATGTGTCACTGGTGCTAAGAGTAGTCCCTAGTCCTCATGAACACTCTCCCTTACAAAGGGTTATTGTAATAGGTGAAGAGGCACATAATGTTTTCAGAGCAATGGGCTGCTTTGGAAATGGCCTTCCTACCTTCACTCAAAAGAGATGTGTATTCCTCTCCAGAGTTGACCAGGTGAGTGGGAAGCGGAGGGAAGTATTCTGTGAGCTTGCAGCAGGAACTGGCTGTGCACAGTGCTGATTGGCTAGTGCTTGTGACGCAGCCAGGAACCTCTTGCATCCTCAGAGCAGTTTTGCACATTAACTTTTTTAAAAAGCAAAAACAAGAAGGTGTTGACTTAATAAAAATCAATTCAGTACCTTTTTATAATAAAGTAGGTAAGCTGTCTGAAGTGGTGGCATAGGAGACAGACAGGCCTGATATACCGTATTTTTCGCTCTATAAGACACACCAGACCACAAGACACATCTAGTTTTTGGAGGAGGAAATAAGAAAAAAAATATTCTGAATCTCAGAAGCCAGAACAGCAAGAGGGATTGCTGCGCAGTGAAAGCAGCAATCCCTCTTGCTGTTCTGGCTTCTGGGATAGCTGCGCAGCCTGCATTCGCTCCATAAGACGCACACACATTTCCCCTTACTTTTTAGGAGGGATAAAGTGAGTCTTATAGAGCAAAAAATACGGTAATTCATCCAGAATTTTGATTGGCCGGTATGCACATTTGTCACTTCAGTTGTGAAGCTAGGTTTGCTCTACAGCTGAGAGTCCTGTGAGCTCATTCTGCACCCTTACAATCACAGTGATTTTAAAAAAAATCAAAGTTCTATGCCCTAAGCCTATGAGGACTATTCTAGAAAATGTGTGGATGCTGGCTGCCTTGCACAATCTCAACCGTCACCGTGACTCCTTTCTCCACATTTAGCAGAAATGGAATGTTTATGCAAAACGAGTCAAAGTATTCAAAATTATTTCTTTTATTCAGGTTTCAGAATCCCAGCTTTTCTGAGCCAACAGTTTGCATTATTTGGGTGATGAGTTTTCAGTCAAGTGGAGAATACGCAGCTAAGCAGTTTGAGAGAGGGTGCTGCCACCGAACTATAAACTGGGGATTGGCAACTCAGAGTTGATAGCAGCTGTTTTTAAAAGCATTCATCTCCTCCCCAAAAATAATTGGGCATCTGTGTGAGGCTGGTAGAGAGCAGAAAGCTCAAAGAAGGAAATGAAGTGTACCACAGCAACTTAATAGGGTGCTTTGAAATTTGGAGAGAGTAGTTACGCCTAAAGTTGATTCCCACCTTCCTTAAATCCTGCTCCTTGAGATTGTGATCAGAGACTCAGGGATCGGAAATGGTAAGGGTTCATTAACAGCCCCCCAGCGTTTTCCTTGTTGCGGAGGAGTGGCTGGCATTTTATATTTTTGATATGTACTTTGGGGGAGTGGTGGGAATGTTCTTTTGTAATTAAACGCATAAAAAAGGCCTAAAGGAAATAACGCTTGTTGTGCAATGCTGTCTTGTGTGTGTTTCTGCCCCGGAGGTATCTGAAAGAAAGGGAAGTTCTAGCAAGCAGAGAAGCAGCTGGAGGAAATGCCGAACTGAAGTTTATCGTCTGGTGGTGGCTATCTTCCCTCTCTCTTGTTTGTGAGAGCTGTTGCACGAGAGCTGTTGCTTTGTGAGAGCTGTTGCTTTGCAGCTACACTGGGGGTGGGGGGTTGGCTGGAGCATGGAGGAGGACACACCAAGGGTTTGCAGAACTGCAGAAGTCTATGGAGGGAGGGAAAACAGAAGTGGGAGGTTGTGCGTGTGTGAGAGAAAGAGATGGATGGATGGGAGAGAGAAATGAATAGAATCCAATGGAGAAAAGCATAGATGGTGGGCTGGCACAATGACCAGGAACTATCCACTCTGCACCATTTTGTTGCAGGTTGCACTTTATTCAGTATTCATCCTTTTCAACTGAGCTATATGCCTAGCTAGATTTCTAGCAGTTGTATCAACCATCCTCCCTTCCCTTAGGGCTGCCATATGTCTGGACATTGCCTGGATTTCAAAGGCAGAATTGATGTCCAGTGGGAATTTATCCAGCATCTTTGGCAAGTCAATTGAAAAATCTTGGGGTTTTTTTTTGACATTTTTGTAAAAAACAACATTGGGGGTTTGTCTAAAAAAAAATAAAGCTCAACTGTCCTGGTTTTTACTTTTTGAAATATGGCAACCCTACTTCCCTTATTCTCATTTTCATATTGTACCCTGAGCGCTGTGGGCTGAGCTTTGGCTACGTCAAGGAATGTCTAGAAACATTCCCAACTGCTAAGTGGGAATGAACATGGAAGTGGCTGCATGTAGAACTGGTGCCCCACCTCGTCCCCCACATAAGCGTTCCTTGCATCAAATTGTAGAGTTGGAAGGGACCACAGGGGTCATCTAGTCTAACCCCCTGAAATCCAGGAATCCTTTTCCCAAACGTGGGGCTCAAACCCATAACCCTGAGATTAAGAGTCTCTTGCGCTAGCAACTGCATTTGTCATGCATTCCACACCTACTCAGGTGTGGATCTAAAACATGCTCCCAGAGCACCCGCCCAACTCCTGGTTGCCTGTGTGCCAACCCTACATGCAAATCGGTTGATTCATGCCACCAGGATGGCTGGTATAGGGAAAGGAGGCAGGGAGTTCTTGCGTAAGAATGCCTGTGGCTGTTCTAGAGTCACAGAGTCATGGAATGATGCAGATTGTGGTGGCAGCCACGACTGCTGTGGCCTAGTTTGGGGTGTTTCATTTTTGTGCGTGTGCATTTGCTGCCCTGGGCTTCAAGGATTGGATATGAATAGTGATCATCAGAACTGGAAATTGCCAGAACTCAGTTCCAGCTCTAGCGCCTCTCAGTTGGCGCCATTGCCATTCTAAGAGAACGAGGGAGGTGTTCGTGGTGAGTTCCGGCGCCTATTTTTCTAGCAAAATAGCACTGATGATGATAATGGAATCTCATCAGGCTAGGAGAGGTGCTCTGGTCTGCAACGCGGCTGAAGGATGACTAGCTGAGATGATGTGGGTGGGATTCAGGGAAGTCCTCTTCTACAATGTCTATGGCAGGTGTCAGCAAACTTTTTCAGCCGGGGGCTGGTCCACTGTCCCTCAGACCTTGTGGGGGGCCGGACTATATTTTTTTGGGGAAATGAATGAATTTCTATGCCCCACAAATAACCCAGAGATGCATTTTAAATAAAAGCACACATTCTACTCGTGTAAAAACACACTGATTCCCGGACCGTCCGCGGGCCAGATTTAGAAAGCGATTGGGCCAGATCCAGCCCCCGGGCCTTAGTTTGCCTACGCATGGTCTATGGGCTGGAGGTGCACAGCACACCTGATGTGATGTAGTGTTTCACTTGTAACAGACAAGGGAGGCCTGGATATAAATCCTCACAAAGTCCACTGGGTAGCTCCTGGGCTAATTGGTACCTCTTTGCCCAAGGCAGAACAGCAAATGACATAGCTTTATCTGTGCTCACAAGACACACATCAAAGTTCACAGCTGGTCAGATTTTGGCACCTGTGGCACACTCTGCGTGCCTCTCTTAATATGCATCGACAACACCTTAGATAACTAGCCATTGGCTGCTCTTTCACAGCATCCAAAACCAGCTGCCTGCAATGGGCACCTTGCTATGCCCAATGTTAGTGCCGGCCCTGTGAGCAGAATTGTGGTGAAGTATACTGCCCTGAGCTCTATAGAGGGGCAGATGAGAAAGGGCCTCAATGGACAGCCCAGTAGCCTGGGAAAGAGTTTATCCCCTATACATGTTTTGATATCGGCGGATTCATACCTTTGAAAACAAGATGCCAACGAAAACACAGCCATGTTTTGAGATTTCACATGTCCAAATTGGGCAGTGTCCTTTTTCAGGTAAGTACTGTGCACAAAGGTGTACACATTAATGCAAAGTGAACGTTAGTGAAAATACCACACAAAAATGCATCGGGGAAACATGCTTTGCAAAAAAAATGTGTATATTAGGGGAATTGCATAGGAAAATGTGTGTTTTACGATAAATTAGCCCTAAAATGCTGATGATTTTTCCTGATTATTTTTTTTAAATAATAAAAATGTAAACTGATGTGGAAATGTGGAGAGCCTGAATTTAAGACTGGAAAAATGAGAAACTTAGAGGAACCAACATATTGACATATTCACCCACCCCTAGCAATGAGACGTGTATTTTCTCTGTATGTGGATCACACACACACCCCAACAAAATTTGTCACTTTTATGGGCTATCCGAAAAGGCAGAAATCTACTTCCAGCCATTTCTCCCATTGCCTTTTCTCTCCTGGACTTGAGGGTAGACTTGAGGTTCTATGGTTTTGAATTCATGCAGCACAGCGTCTTTTGTTGATATGCCGGTGAAGGCTGCGCTGTCTACGAGGAGCGAGGGGGAAGAATTGCTCAGCTGCCCAGTCTCTGGCGGAGAAAAGAAAGCGCTCTCTGCACAGGCTCAAAGCCACGCTCTCCTTTCCTACCACGGTCCGGGTGCTGAGCTCCAGCTCTGATTTCAAAGCCTGATCTATTCTGTGCGAATCTTTTTGAGTCGGAAGGTACCCAAGGGGTCAACTAGGGTCCGACCTCTTGCAATGCAAGAATCCTCTCCGTTCTCTCTAAAAAGAGACGAGCAGCACTGGAACCTGGCTTTTAAATACTGGGGTGGAGAGCGGCTGTCCACTGAACGCGCCCTTCCCATTTATTCGCTGCTTGGCGTCATTAGCCGGAGATGGCAGGACTTGAATCTGGAACCTGCTGCGCGCTGAAGCTCGAGGTTGTCTGTCCTGAGAGTATCTTCCACAGCGGGGACGGGAAGCGGAAAAGGGGGAGAGAAGAGCAAAGAGGTTGTGAAACAGAAAGTAAAGGGGAAGCTCCTGGCAGCGCTAAATCTGCTCCTCGCCCGGAAGGGAAGTGGGATTAAGCTTGCAATGTCTGCCGAGGGTGAGGCCTGAAATTGAGAGGTTTCCCTGCCGCAAGGAACGCTTCCAGAAAAAAGAGAGAGAAAGAGGTAATGGAGGGAAGGGGTTTGAGTTGAGTGGGCTCAGTCTACCTGCAAAAGGAGTAGCAAAAGGGAGGGAGAGAGTTTGGATCCTCAGACTCGTTTCTTCCTCTCCACCTTGCACCCCCGCCAGCCCATAATGACCGCTGCGACTCGGTCCAGGATTTCCAGTAAACGTGGCTGTCTCATTCTCAGTCCTGGGCAGGTAAGGTTTCCAAGGCCACCGAACACGCCTGTGCCTATATATAGCAGGAAATAAGGCACCCACAGGCTTCTCCCGCGTGTTCCCTTACTCTCAGACAGCCCTAGGCCCTTTGCACTTGGTCACCGCTCCCGGTAAGACCCAGATAACAAGCATTGGATGCTGCCCTGTCCTGAGTCCCCCTTCTGCTCAGGTGCTCATTGTGTGATTGGCACCTTTCTATCCCATGTGGGACGCGGGTGGCACTGTGGGTTAAACCACAGAGCCTAGGACTTGCCGATCAGAAGGTTGGCGGTTTGAATCCCCGCAATGGGGTGAGCTCCCGTTGCTTGGCCCCTGCTCCTGCCAACCTGGCATTTCGAAAGCACGTCAAAGTGCAAGTAGATAAATAGGTAACCGCTCCACGGGAAGGTAAACAGCGTTTCCGTGCGCTGCTCTGGTTTGCCAGAAGTGGCTTAGTCATGTTGGCCACATGACCCGGAAGTTGTACACTGGCTCCCTCGGCCAGTAAAGCGAGATGAGCGCTGCAACTCCAGAGTCGGCCACGACTGGACCTAATGGTCAGGGGTCCCTTTACCTTTACCTATCCCATTTCTATCCCAGGAGTTCCAGGTGGTGTGCCTTGTTTTCCTCTTCCCCATCCTCACAACAACCCTGTGAGGTGGGTTGAGGTGTGAGTGAGTGGCCCTAGGGCAACCAGTGATCTTCATGGCTGATGCGGGGGGAGGGCGGGATTTGAACCCAGGTCTCCCAGGCCCGACCACGGGCTCTGTTGTGTAAATGCAGCAGAAATCCTGGAGGATGTGCCAAAAGAGCTGAGCCCTCTCCAATGTGCAAAAATTCAACAAGGCATCCCCAAATGGTGAAGGAGGGAAAGGGCAGGAAACCTTTTGAAGCTCTGATTAGAGCAGGGCTGGGTAACGCAGGGTCCTAGAGTCCTCCCTTCTGAGTTTTGGGAGGGAGGTGGGAGGCAGTGTTTGAAATTAGTTAGGAGCCAGGAGCATTTCGCACCCACTTGAGACCAAGTGAGGGATGCCTGGGCGCTAGGATGGTGCCTGACACCTTCATGCGTGCCTGGGGATCCTTGAATCTTGACTGTTTTCATGCACTAATCCTGTAGGAATAGAGCAATGTATACATGGACTGTCCCTGGATCGAGTGACTTTAAGTTCTCAAAGCTCTTAACCTCCCTCAAGGTGTTACCGTCTGAACTAGCCAGACGTTTAACTGACAATCAATCTTACCCCCAAATGGCAACTAGACATTCCTTTTTGGCAACTGCAACCTTGGTTTAAGGATCCATTTGGCATACAGCTTATACAGTGGTACCTCAGGTTAAGTACTTAATTCGTTCCGGAGGTCCGTTCTTAACCTGGAACTGTTCTTAACCTGAAGCACCACTTTAACTAATGGGGCCTCCTGCTGCTGCTGCTGCCGTGCCGCCGGAGCCCGATTTCTGTTCTCATCCTGAAGCAAAGTTCTTAACCCGAGGTACTATTTCTGGGTTAGTGGAGTCTGTAACCTGAAGCGTATTGTTATGTACTGAGTTGAATAGGATCCAAACTGCAGCAGTCTGATTGCTCCTAGAACAATAGGATCCAAATTGCAGCAGTCTGATTGGTCCTAGAACAATAGGATTCAGAAAGCAGCAGTCTGATTGGTCCTAGAACAATGCAGCAGTATGATTGGTTGGCAGGAACCACCCAATCATGCTCCAGATATAAGTGAATCCACAACCTGATTGGCTTACAGTAGCCTTCCAGAATTAGCCAATCATGTGCAGCCCATTGTGTAAATAATGTATATAAAGCAGATACTTTGAGGGGACTTTTATTCATTCCTCCTCACCACTATGAGCTGAATAAAGAGCATGAAATCACTTTGCGACTCTGAGTATATTTCACGTATGTAACCCGAGGTACCAATGTATATCTGAGTTTCTTACACTGGTGGGAGGGCTCTAGGACCTTGCTAGAGCCTCACACTTCCCAGTGCCTCTGGGAAGGTAGCGCTATGACTTGGGGTGTGTGTCAAATTTTGGCCTTGGTCCCCCCTATCACCAGCCTGTGCAGCCTGTGGGTTCCATGTCAAAGTACTCTTGCGACTCACTTGGTATGAAAAGTTGGACAGCCTTGGATTAGGCTGTGGGATGGCAGATGAAGGTGATGGATTACATGGAATTGGCGGAAATGACTGGCAGGATCCGAGACCAGGGAGAAGAGTCAGTGGAGGAAGACTGGAAGAAATTTAAAGACTATCTACAGAGACAGTGTAAAATTAATGGATGTTAGAATGATGTTGGATTGAAATTAAGTGGTTTCTAGCTGTAATGGTATAAAAGAATATGAAAAAATGGTTTTTTATAAGTAAAAATTCAAGGTTATAATAATTTAAGATTAAAGATCTGGGTAGAATAAAGAGGGAAAGAAACTGCTGAGCTAATAAAATGAATTGGAATACAAAAAAGGGAGGTCCGAGGAGGTCCGAGAAACAAGTAAATGAAAAATAATGTGATGAAAAGATTGATTGTTTTAAACTACTTTTATTTTGTATTTTTTCTTTTTTCTTTTTCTATTTTGTAATGTAAAAATCTTAATAAAAATTTTATATATATATATATAAAAAGGATTAGGCTGTGGGATGAGGACCTTGGAGATCAGGTTTCAAGTCTCCACTCTGTCATGAAGCTCACTGGGTGAGCTTGCGCCAGTCATAGAATCATAGAATCATAGAGTTGGAAGAGACCACAAGGGCCATCGAGTCCAACCCCCTGCCAAGCAGGAAACACCATCAGAGCACTCCTGACATATGGTTGTCAAGCCTCTGCTTAAAGACCTCCAAAGAAGGAGAGTCCACCACACTCCTTGGCAGCAAATTCCACTGTCGAACAGCTCTTACTGTCAGGAAGTTCTTCCTAATGTTTAGGTGGAATCTTCTTTCTTGTAGTTTGGATCCATTGCTCCGTGTCCGCTTCTCTGGAGCAGCAGAAAACAACCTTTCTCCCTCCTCTATGTGACATCCTTTTATATATTTGAACATGGCTATCATATCACCCCTTAACCTCCTCTTCTCCAGGCTAAACATGCCCAGCTCCCTTAGCCGTTCCTCATAAGGCATCGTTTCCAGGCCTTTGATCATTTTGGTTGCTCCTCAGCCTAACCTGCATCACAGGGTGTATGTGGGGATTGAACGGGGATTGAATTGTGCATGCCATTTTGGGCTCCTTGGAGAAGAAGGGTGGGGTACAAATGCAATAAATAAAATTTGAAATAAAAATAACCCCACACCATTGGATCATGGATGGGTAGGGATTCAAACTCACACTTGCCATCTTGTCTGCTCTTCTTTGTCTGCCTCTGCCTTACCACTTGCTCTCATGAGGGCTTGGGTTAGACCAGGGGTCAGCAAACTTTTTCAGCAGGGGGCCAGTCCACTGTCCCTCAGACCTTGTGAGGTGACAGACTATATTTTTTTTTTGGGGGGGGGGGGATGAACGAATTTCTATGCCCCACAAATTACCCAGAGATGCATTTTAAATAAAAGGGCACAATCTACTCATGTAAAAACATGCTGATTCCTGGACCGTCCGCGGGCCGGATTTAGAAGGCAATTGGGCCAGATCTGGTCCCCGGGCCTTAGTTTGCCTACCTATGGGCTAGACGGACATGTAAGCAGCTGGATGTTTTTAGCCCAGAGCTGGAAAGAAGACAAAGTCCCTACCAGAGAAGAATGGCAAACCAAGGTAATGGACTATGGCAAGATGGCAAAGCTGACTGGAAAACTCAGAAACCAAGAGGATAAAAACTTTATAAAAAAAATTATAAGTTACTTAGGAGACCACTGTAAGCAGATGGAGACAAAAAGCAGGATTTTGATTCACTTGTAGTGTAAAAATCACTGTGGACAGTATGGTTTGATATAAAAACCGGAGTATAGTGGTGCCCCGCAAGACGAATGCCTCGCAAGACGAAAAACTCGCTAGACGAAAGGGTTTTCCGTTTTTTGAGTCATTCCGCAAGACGAATTTCCCTATGGACTTGCTTCGCAAGACGAAACGTCTTGCGAGTTCTTGCGAGTTTGTTTCCTTTTTCTTAAAGCCACTAAGCCGCTAATAGCCGCTAAGCCGTTAATAGCCGCTAAGCCGCTAATAGCCGCTAAGCAGCTAATAGCCGTGCTTCGCAAGACGAAAAAACCGCAAGACGAAGAGACTCGTGGAACGGATTAATTTCGTCTTGCGAGGCACAACTGTACGGATGAATATGCAGTTGTGGATGTTTAAAATGAGACCCCATGGAGGGGATGGGGGGGAAGTCTTGAGATTCAGAGAATCTCTTTATACAGCTATGTTTTTACTAGTTTGTGTTTATTTGTACTTTGTATTTGTAAAACCAATAAAAATGATTTCATTAAAAAAAAGACATGTAAGGTGCCTCTTTTTCTTCCCCCTTCGCTCACCTTTAAGGCAGGCCTTATAGCATGAGTCAATGCTGAGTGAGCTTCGCTGCTGGCAGATGACCCTTCAGGAAAGATGGCTGCTCCAAACAAGTTCTATGAGGAGATCACTGACCAGCACCTGAGGGACTGGCAGTGTATTGGCCGAGGAGCCTTTGGGACCATCTACCGAGCTCGACACGAAGAGTGGAGGATCGATGTTGCCGTGAAGATTCTCAACAGGTACTGGGAGCAGGTGGAGGTTGGGTGGGTGAGGAGCGAGCGAGTTAGCGAACGGAGGTACTGTTCCTCTCTCCTCATACGGTGGAACCTTGGTTGTTGAATGTAATCCGTTCCAGAAGACTGTTCGTCTTCCAAAACGTCCAACAACCGAGGCGCAATGGGCGGTCAGCAGTATCCACTGAGAAAATGGAGACACGCACCTCGGAAGCCGTTTGACTTCTGAGGCGCATTCAAAAACGGAAGCATTCACTTCCGGGTTGTCGCCGTTCGAAAGCTGAAACGTTAGACTTCCGAAGCGTTCGACAACCGAGGTTCCACTGTACATGAATTCTACTACGGTAGATAAAATAAAAGCTTTTACGAATGCAAGTCCTAAATGCTACAGATGAGGAATGTCGGCATTAGGGGGCAAAATGTGCCCCCCCCAGCCCCTGGGACTCTCCCCAGACCACATCCTACGTGCAAATTCTATTCTAGAAAGATTAAGTTTACATTTGTTTCCCAGGCCACTTTTGCCTGTTTCCCACTCCTTCTTTAAAGCAGATATTTCTGAAGGCCGTGCAATAAATAATGGTGGACTGAAATGATGATGGTGATCCACTAGAGAATTCTGATTTGTGACAATGCAATGGACATTCTTTTTTCCTTATCCAAAACCCCTCTCTCTCACACACTACTGTTAGACCTTTTTTTGGGGGGGGGGGGTTGGACATATTGGTACTATTCAGATACCTGTGTTTATTTCTCCACTAGGGTTTGGTTGGGGTGGGGTGAAAAAAGATTTTAAATCCAGAAAACGGCATGGGGGAGAGGTATAATTTCCCCCTTCCTCAGATACCGCTGCTCTGATCAAAATCTCCCCACCCCCAATGAAGTGTTTTTTTTTAAATAAACAAGGTGGTCTTGCTCCTCAAGAGCAGAATAGGTGGGAAGAGGAAAGAGTTGAAGGTTCTCCCAACCTCGCTTTCTCACCTGAGTCCATTTAACAGTTCAGCAATCACTGGAGAAATGCTTAATTGAAAGAACACACAACAACAGAGACAGACACACAGACACACACACACACCACCTTGCAGGGATCACAAGGTCGGTTCAACTAAGGGGAGCCTGCAGGATCAGGCCAAAGGCCCATCTAGTCCAGCATCCTGTACTCACAGTGGCAGGTGCCTGCTGGAAACCAGCACACAGGATTTGAGCCTCCTGTGGTTTCCAACAACTGGTATTCAGAACCATGGCTGCCCACAACTGTGGAGCCAGATCATAGCCATTGTGGCTAGTGGGTCCATCAATAGCTCCCTCTCCCATGAATTTGTCCATTCTTCTTTTAAAGCCATCTAAGTTGGTTTTCAATCGCAGCCTCCTGTGGGAGCGAGTGCCATAGTTTAGCTTCCTTTTAGCTCCACGCTCAACATAATTCTAAAGAAACTCTAACCTGCCTTGAGGCAGAGGCTGAAAAATGGAGTCCCCTTTTTTTCAGGGGAAGAAGCCTTTCCAGAGATTGTAGGATTGGTTTCATCACAGCACACTGAACAGTCCACAAACAGCCACCCATCTTGTGACTTCAGTCTGGACAGGTTCAGGGGATGTGAGATTTATGAGGTCGGTAATCCCAGTTTGGAGCCATTCTCAGAGTAGCTTCAGTCTCCATACCCTTTCTCTTCTTGCTATTCTACCTTCACTTTTGACTCTTTTACCTCCCCCCCACCCGCCATTTCCTGCAGCAATACATCGTTCACCCGGGAGGAACTCCTGAAAGAAGCCCGGGCCATGGAAGAGGCACGGTTTACCTACGTCCTGCGTCTCTATGGCCTCTTTGTGGGCAGAGTGGAAGCGGACACGAAGCTGGTGGGCTTCGGCGGTGCTGCTGGTTCGAATCTGGGCCTGGTGATGGAGTTCATGGAGAACGGCACCCTGTCCGCCTTGAGGTACCGGGTCCCTTTTGTGCCTTGGGCCCTGCGAATCCGCATCCTCCACCAGGTAGCCCTGGGGATGAATTTCCTCCACAGCCTCAAACCCCCACTGTTACACCTGGACCTCAAGCCAAGCAACGTTCTCTTGAATGAGGAGCTCCACGTCCGGGTGAGTTGGATCATTCCCGTTCTGTAAGGGGAGTGGGCAGTTCAGAGTCGATGCGTGTGTGCAAACTTCTGGGCAGGCTGATATTCTCTGCAACCTCTGAGTGAGTTTCAAACTTTCAGTGAAGCTTACGGAGTGGTACAAAAACAAGGTAGAAGACCTGCATGGAATATAAGGACTAAGAACATGTTTTGTTGCAGCTGAGCCACCCAGTTGTGCTGCTGTAGATGCACCATGGACTGCTTTGGAAAGTGGAAACTGCAACTCATTTCTCATGCCAGAGGAAGACAGACAGGGCGGTTTGCTCTTAGAGAAAGTGATGCTTATAATTGCTACAAACTTTAGCAAAGTGATCCAGACTGGGGATTAGACGTTTACGAGGACCATCAGTTGACTTCCTGTAGGGTGGGGAACTTGTGAACTTCCAGATGTTGTTGGGGTTGTTGGGCTCCAATTCCTGCCAGCCCCAGTCAGCAAGACCCAACAACTGGGGAACATGGGAGTTGTAGTCAAATGACGTCTTTGGTGGAAGAGGCATGGGTTCCCTGTCCTTGTCTTAAGGGGGCAACTGTTTGACATACAGCAGTGGTTTCCAAAATCCAATCTGCAGAACTCCAAGGTCCCTCAGAGGGTTAGCAAGAGTGCTTCAAATATTTTATTTTATTTTAATTACATTTATATCCCATGTTTACACCCCACTTTCCCCAAATGTCATCCTTGTAACAACCATGGCTGGCTGAGCGGGGATTGAAACCTTGGTCTCCTAGGTCCTAGTCCAAACCTCTAACCACTATACCACACTTAGCTCCCTAAGGTCACTAAAGAGACAAGCTTGCTTTAATATATTCAGGTGGGAGCCCTTGCCATTATAAGAGAACAAGGGAGGTGCTCATGGTGTGTTCTTTTTTAAATAGAAAAATAGCACTGAGTATATTGCACTACAGTATATTGCACAATATACTGCACGGGTGGCGCTGTGGGTAAAACCTAGGATTTGCCGATCACACGGTCGGCGGTTCAAATCCCCGCGGCGGGGTGCGCTACCGTCGTTCGGTCCCAGCGCCTGCCAACCTAGCAGTTCGAAAGCACCTCTGAGTGCAAGTAGATAAATAGGGACCACTTACCAGTGGGAAGGTAAACGGCGTTCCGTGTGCTGCGCTGGCTCGCCAGATGCAGCTTGTCACGCTGGCCACGTGACCCGGAAGTGTCTGCAGACAGCGCTGGCTCACGGCCTATAGAGTGAGATGAGCGCACAACCCTAGAGTCTGGCAAGACTGGCCCATACGGGCAGGGGTACCTTTACCTTTATATTGCACTATAAAGGCTTTTGTTTAGTTTAAAGCAATATACCAGCCTCATAAATCAAATGTCTTCTTAGCTTTTCAATTGGTGGAGGTGGGTAGATTGTTCTTATTTATTCATTTTATTTTATGAATTGCTTCTGCATGAGGCAATCCCAGCTATCACGTAACAGAAGGTGGAGTCGGTCTTCTGCAATGTATAATTGCGTGGGCGGATGACTCAGGTTGTTGCCTACAGGTTGGATGACTCAGGTTGTTCCAATTTCTTTCTGTGAAATGGGTGCATCTCGTTCTCCAGCCACTGCTTATGTCACCTCCCCCCTCCCCCCCTATCTTTTTGGTTCAGGTGGCTGATTTTGGGCTCTCCAAGTTCAAGCGAGGGACCACTCGGAACGCCAGCATCAAATCCAGGGAAGAGGAAGAGTATGGCGGGACTCTGGAGTTCATGCCTCCTGAGGCTTTCACCAATGTGAACTACAAGCCGACCCCAGGCACAGATGTCTACAGGTGAACATGGGTTGCATTGCCTGTGTTGGGCAACAGGGGGCACTGCAATTACGTGAGCGACATAGAGTTGAGGGTCATTTGGGGTGACAAGCCAGTTCCCGAATGAAAGCTACTGATATCTACATGGGGTAATCCAGTACAGTGCTACCTCGGGTTACATATGCTTCAGGTTACAGACGCTTCAGGTTACAGACTCTGCTAACCCAGAAATAGTGCTTCAGGTTAAGAACCGGTGGCACGGCAGCAGCAGGAGGCCCCATTAGCTAAAATGGTGCTTCAGGTTAAGAACAGTTTCAGGTTAAGAACGAACCTCTGGAACGAATTAAGTACTTAACCTGAGGTACCACTGTAGTCCCATAAATTCTACTGTGCTCTTTTCCTTTCTGTCTGGCATTGGCTACCAGTGTTCAGTGGTGGAATCTCCAGCCTGTGTGACCGTAGCCCTTTAGTGTGCAAGCTCCCTGCTCATAAACGCTGGATAAGCTTGTGAGATGGAGCAAGGGATGGGGCTCTGGAAAAAGTTGGTCTACCTAGGAAGAGGATCTTCTGCAGGGCAGTCTCTCCCGAGATCCTGATTCTCTTGTTTTTCTCTCTCTTCAGCTATGGGATTCTCATGTGGTCGTTGCTCACTGGCGAAGACCCTTACGCAAGTGAGTCTTCTTCCGGTTTCTTTCTACCTGTCAGAGATTTCGCAGACTATTTATTAATGGGAACAGGCACCGAAGAACCATCGCAAGAAAGGAAAAGAAAGCAGCTGCCTATCAGAGAGCTGGGATGTGGGTGGGGCTGTGGGTTAAACCACAGAGCCTAGGACTTGCCGATCAGAAGGTCAGCAGTTCGAATCCCCACGATGGGGTGAGCTCCCGTTGCTCTGTCCCAGCTCCTGCCAACCTAGCAGTTCGAAAGCATGTCAAAGTGCAAGTAGATCAATAGGTACTGCTCCGGCAGGAAGGTAAATGGCGTTTCCGTGCGCTGCTCTGGTTCACCAGAAGCGGCTTAGTCATGCTGGCCACATGACCCGGAAGCTGTACGCCGGCTCCCTCGGCCAATAAAGCGAGATAAGCACCGCAACCCCAGAGTCGGCCATGACTGGACCTAATGGTCAGGAGTCCCTTTACCTTTAACAGAGAGCTGCAAAGTCTGTGTGTGATCCGGCCTATCCAGTGATTAGACATGGATTAGCTAAGGCAGCCTTTGCCAGCAACAGTCCATATGTTGCTCACTGTTGTAGGCAATATGCTTCTTTATACCAGTGAGTGGGACTCACAAATGGGGAGAGTGCCATTGCGCTCAGGCCATGCTAGCCGGCTTCCCATAGGCATCTGGTTGGCCATTGTGAGGATAGGATGCTGGACTTGGATGGGCTCCCAGTGTGGTCCTTCTTATGTTCTTCACCTGCATCCCTGAGATGCTAGCTGGATTCAGGGGACCATTCAGATAGGGTCCCCACTCCTGCATTATCATGTGGTGCACTCTTCTCAAGAGGACTGTACCACATGCTTTTTTCCTCAGCTGTTAAATTTGGCCCTTGACGGTGTCTGACGAAACCAGGGGAAGGCTTTGGGGGAAGAGCAGTAACTCAGTGGTAGAGCATCTCCTTTGCGTGCACAAGGTCACAGGTTCAATCCCTAACGGGATCTCCAGGTAGGAGAGGACCTTGTCAGAAATCCTGGAGAGCCATTGCCACTCTGTGTAGACAATGCAATGAAGCAGCTTTCTTTGTTTCCACACTAAGGTGCCATGTGCCGTTTAAATCCCCTCCCTTCAAACTGCTCAAAATTTGGTCTGCCCCCTCCCCATTTTGCAATTTAATCTTCAAATTGTCATGTCTTATAAAAGAGCCGGGATGGAGTAGTCAATATTAGTTAAAAGGTTAAAAGGTAAAGGACCCCTGGATGGTTAAGTCCAGTCAAAGGCGACTATGGGGTTGCAGCGCTCATCTTGCTTTCAGGTTGAGGGAGCCAGCGTTTGTCCGCAGACAGTTTTCCGGGTCCTGTGGCCAGCATGACTAAACCATTTCTGGCGCAACAGGACACCGTGATGGAAACCAGAGCAGCGCACAGAAACGCCGTTTACCTTCCCACCTCAGCGATAACCTATTTATCTACTTGCACTGGTGTGCTTTTGAACTGCTAGGTTGGCAGGAGCTGGGACAGAGCGACAGGAGCTCACCCCGTCGTGGGGATTTGAACTGCTGACCTTCTGATCGGCAAGCCCAAGAGGCTCAGTGGTTTAGACCACAGCGCCACCCGTGTCCCTAGTCAATACTACTGGGACTGGGACTCCGGAGAACTGCATATGGATTCCTCTATTATACTGGGCCTTGTGCAAATCTGCATGACCCATTCAGAATATTTTGCATACAACCTGTGTTTCCGTGTCTGCTTAGATGTTCCTCCTGGAAATATGAGCTCCATCATCAAGTCACTGATCCCCCAAGGCCAAAGGCCCAGTACTGAGGAGCTGGAGAGGATGGCCAATAGAGTGTTGAAACTAGAAGACTTGATCAGGCTGATGAAACTCTGCTGGCATCACAACCAAGACCAAAGGCCGTCCTTCCGAGGTAATAAATGTGACCCTTTCCCCCCCACAAGAGTGCTAACATTGTGGAATATAATGTTTACATTTCATTTGAAAAGGTGATAGTGGTTCACGACAGATAACTTAGTCAAAATGGGAAACAGTACCAGAAATCACATCAGTTCATATGTCCCTTTGCAAACAGGAATAGAAATCAGGTATTCGAATACAAGTAGTATTCACTGTTATCAATTTCCACCCCCAAAGTCCACTATTTGCTGTCATTCCACACCCACCCACCCAGTACATTACTGATGACTTTACTCTCTGCTCCATAAGAATGAATGGTGTGGAATTATATAGCAGTAATGTAATGGATTACATTAATAAAATTGGCCATGGTGAACAAATAACATCTTTGCAGAACCTGAACTGCAGCGGAATGGGAACAGCGCTGCATGCATTGGGTACTAGGGAGAGGGCCTTCTCAGTGGGTGCTCCTAGGCTTCGGGGCTCCCTCGCTTGTTCTTCAGCTGGCTGGTAAAGGCTTTTGCACTGGCAAAACTAGGGTGCTTGTGCTACCTGTAACTGTGGTCTGATTCTGAATGCACAGCTCCCACCCTACCCGTGGGTGCGTAAATGGCTTGAGGTCTCTGCAGGTCCTTCCCTGCACACACACACACACACACATGTTGTTTTTTTGCACAAATTTTCCATCGTAACAACTTCATAACAAATCTTGGGCTATCACAGCCTAAGACTTCCCTCAACTCCTTCTAATGGTTTTCTAAATTCCTCTCTATTTTTGCATTTTATAACTGTACTTATTGCTCTAAATCCTCTCTTACATCATCTATTTTTAATCCTTTCCACAATAATTTATAAAGTCCTCCTTACAAAACTTCTTGTAACCCTACAAGCAATGTTGAATAATTACAATTGTCTTTCAAAGTCCTTCCCTCATTCTCATCCCCCCCCCCCACTTTGCTTAGAGTGCAGCGAAAACACAGAGGATGCGTTTTCCCAGTACAAACGTCACATTGTGGCCGCTGTGCGCAAAGTCCAGGATTGCTTGGTAAGTTGCACTTTTTCAGACAGCCACCAGGTGGTAGGAGCCCTCTATTTTTACCTTGCATAGATAATACTGAGGAGAAATAATATAATCATAGAGCTAGAAGGGAGCACTAGCATCATCATCCATGTCAGGTTGCTTTTGTTTTTAAATTCTCTCTTGTTATATCCCCTCAGTAAGCTGCAACAGACAATCATTTTAAACACACACACACACACACACACACACACACACACACTGTCTGCTTGGTCTGTTGTAAAACAGCTCCCAGTTGCAACAATGTCGACATTCTCCTTCATTGGTTAAAAAGTCTGTTTAATCAACAAAACAATAATTTTTAAAAACAATTTTATTGAAATTTTCTCAGACTAATAATAATAATAATAATAAAATTTTATTTATATCCCGCCCTCCCCAGCCGAAGCCGGGCTCAGGACGGCTAACAACAATAAAATATTGCAACATTCTAAAATCATTTCGTTATAAAATTAATTCAAATCAAATTAATGGCAACCATTGGGCTAGAGTTCTGTCAAGATTGCCAAAGGAGGGAGTCAGGCTGTGCCCTGGCCAAAGGCGTGGTGGAACAGCTCTGTCTTGCAGGCCCTGCGGAAAGATGTCAAGTCCCGCAGGGCCCTAGTCTCTTGTGACAGAGCATTCCACCAGATCGGAGCCACAGCCAAAAAAGCCCTGGCTCTGGTTGGGGCCAGCCTAACCTCTCTGTGGCCTGGGACCGCCAAGATGTTTTTGTTTGAAGATCGTAAGTTCCTCCATGGGACATACCAGGAGAGGCGGTCCCGTAGGTACAAAATGAGAAATACGTAACAACAAACACAACATACGTAACAATACTTGGCTGTGAACTTAGTCCTGGCAATACTTGTGCAGAAAAAAAAGTGATACAACAAGAGGACACAATAATCCCTAAGATGTAGAAACAGTAATCTGGAAGACCAAAGGAAGTAATTTATACATTTTAAAGGTAAAGGTCAAAAATGGTCAGGTATAATATCAGCCCACAGTGCTTTTTTTCCTGGGGGGATGCAGGGGTATGCACACCCCTAAACATTTTTGAATCTTTGTACTTTTGTCCATTTACTTTATTTATTTCCCCTGATTTGAACTATACAATGGTGATTTTCTTGAGTCAAAATGAGAGTACTCCTAAACAATTTTTTTTAAAGGAAAAAAGCACTGTCAGTCCATAATGGGCAATGAAGACCTGGGGTGGTGGTGGTGGGGAGACTGCCCCGTCAGAAAACAAGTACCTGAGAATGGTGTTTTTGGATTTAAGCCCTCTAAATTGTCTGTTACATGGTGTTTTCTCTCCTCTGGTCTCATTTAAAGATGGAGAGCTCTCCTTCAAATGAAACCAGGGTCAACTCGGATACGATATCAGGAAGAGTCAATTCTGCCCGTCAGGTATCAAAGCCCTTGGACTACGAGGTCCCGCTAACCTCTTCCTATGAATTCGAGGAGCAGCTTAGGACTTTAAGACTGGAAGAGTTTCCACACAGACAAAATGGTGAGTGGGGTTTGCGAAATGGGTCTGGGAGCATTTTCTACTTCTAAGACAGTAATTGACTAAGGGAAACTTCAGCACAAATCTTGCTGAGATAATAGGTATGCTGAAGTGAGAAAGAGTTTTATTTTTTTAATTTATTATTATTATTATTATTATTATTATTATTATTATTATTATTATCATCTCTCTCTCTCTCTCTCTCACACACACACACACACACACACACACACACACACTTTCAGGTAGGTAGCCGTGTTGGTCTGACACAATTGAAAAAAAGTAAAAAATTGTCCAGTAGCACCTTAGAGACCAGCTAAGTAGTTCTGGGTATAAGCTTTTGTGTGCATGGCCACTTATTCAGATACACAGGCTTCTTCAGATCTGAAGAAGTGTGCATGCGCAAGATAGCTTATACCCAGAACTACTTAGCTGGTCTCTCAGGTGCTGCTGGACAATTCCCCCCCCCCCCCCACTGCATCAGACTAACACAGCTACCTACCTGAACGTGTGAAAACAGTAAATGTTGTCTTCCTCCTCACCCCCAAGTCAAGGTGAGGGCCAAGGGTAGTCATACTGTTTGGGCACCTGAGGTAGAAAATGCAGCAAGTGCCTCTCTCTGGCTGTAAAAAACACAATAATAAGAAACAGGACAACCTGCTTCCCTTTCATGAGAACAAGTATCAGCCACCTCAGACATCCACTCCCTCTTCCTAAAGGAATGGGGCTAGCAGATGCCTTTTCCTGCACACGAGGCTCCAGAGCAAAGGGAGAAATAATGAATTTGGATTGTTGGTGGCACTGTAGTATGTTTGTCCAGTGTTTTGCCTCATCTCTGCTTGCCCCTCTGTCAAAATTCTCCCTAATTTTGCATCCTGGAGGACAGGAAGCATTTGGGCTCGGTCCTCATAGAAAAAGTGGAATGTGGGGTATGTGTAGGTCAATGGAGATGAGGAGCTGCCACAACAAACCTCAAGTCTCTCCTCAGCCAGCCCCACCTGCCTGCCTAGAACTACCTGCCAGCTTGCTTCTCCTTTGGGATGTTTTCCTTGTAGAACTCAGCAAGGACAAGGTTGGGGGACAAAACTAGAATTAGGTTCTGTGCCTGCCGTTGTCTGTGGTTCCAGCTACTTCCTTTCTCTCCAACATCCCCAGTGGGCACCAGCCACTGCTGGCCTATGTGTGGATTTAGGCCTCATCAGCACTGCCCTTTTGTCACACGCAAATCATGAGGGAATGTCACCTTGTGATGCCATGTCCTCTTCAAAATGTACTGTGTTCACTTGCCTTTATTCCCACCCACCCGCTTTTCCTTTTCCTTTCAGAGGCTGTACCCATGAGAGACTTTTCCAAAATAAACCGAGAAGGGAAATCTGGGCTTCACCGTAGTCACAGCGCGCGGATCGGGAAAGTAAGGTCACTGCTATCAATGTTACCCATCGAGGCTGAGGAGAGTTGGATGGGTTGGGGAAATGGAGTGGAGAGCACAAGCTGGGGGCTTTGGCGAGAAGCCATTGGTTGGGGGTGCTGTGGGAACTGTTGGGTGGAAATGGACAGTGAGGGCTCAGTGAGGGACGGTGAAGGGCCACCAGCTCTGAACTGGTTTCTGGCCAAGCTCTTACACAAGCACGAAAGGCTTATATCCCCTGCACACACATGCAGGGGCTGTGTCACTCGTGTTTGATCTAATCCAAGATGGCGGCTGTGCTGGCATCTGCCCTGCCAACTCACCTTGGAAGGATCGATTGGGACACCAGCCTTTTCTTGACTGGGAAAGATTATGGGGTTTGCCTGTTTTGAGATAGTTAAAATGATTCAGCAAGTCACTGCTGTGAACAGAATGCTTAGGGGTCTCAGATGTGGGGCCACTTCCAATTACGTTAATGCTTTACTCTTCAAATTTGCTGAGGACCCGAGCTATGGATCGCCTCCTCAAGAAGGGGTGAAGATTCGAAACTGGCCCGGGCATACAGGTAATTTTTCTGCCTTTCTAAAAGGGAGTAGACCCTCTTTCTGCTGCAGCAGGGGTGTGGAACTGTTCTCACCCTAAGGGCCTATTCCCTACAGCAAAACCTTCCAGTGGACAGATGCCAAAGGCGAATGTGTGGGTGGTGGTCAGAATCAAAATGTGGGCCAAGCAAGGGATGCAGTTTTTACCTTTGTACAGTAGCCTGCATTCCAGCTATTCAAAAGCCCCCCAAAGCTCATACACCCCTCAAACAGGGTTCATTTCACACTGTCAAAGTCCCAGGACACAGGAGGAAGCATCATTTGCAGAGAGCTCCAAGGGCCGGTTAGGGAGGCCTGGAAGAGCACACCTGGGGCCTGGGCCTCCCCACCCGTGTATTACAGGGATACAGAGTGAAGATAAGACACAGACCTTTGGGCAGCAAATCCACTTCAGAACCACACTCACTTCATTTGGGCAGGTATACAGGCTTCCAAAGTGAATCCAACTCGTTATGGGCATCTAATATGTCCTCTCTCCAGGAGTTGTTGTTTTTTAAAGTCTATTCTATTAAATTTTCAAAAGTTGAACGTTGTACACCCCAAAAGAAAATCTCACAAAATGAGAAAGTAATGCAAATCTCTCGAGACCATTGGTAAACTCTGAGAATTGGCCATCTTCCACATGACAAAGACTGCACCAGCAAAAATCACACCAACAAAAACCATCTCTGACATTATTATTGTGGAATATAGCAGGCTGGCAGCATAAAACTGAGGATGCCACTTTTCAGGACTCCAATACATCATGAATTTTGCTTTCGTTTTGTCGACCTCTCAACCCATTTTCCATGGGGGTTTTTTCTCCCCCTTTGCTGCACCCTATCTTCTATTTTTTATATACCATAACAACAATACAATAATCTCTCATTCCTTCTGTGACTCATAATTCAAATCCTGCTTGCAGGTTCATCATGCTATAGTATATCTTTAAATAACGCCCCCCCCCAAAAGCTTCCATTCTTTCACATAACAATCATAACTGTTCTCTTATTTTGGCTGCTAGCTTTGCCAATTCTGCATAGTCCAAATTGGCAAGTGCTTTTGACCTGCTTGGAGCTCTGACTGCCTGGACTTTCTGACAACTTCGAAGCCATCTCCCTCCCACCAGTCCAGGCATTTGATTCTGGGGGGCTTGTCCAGTGAATGGGAAGGGGTAGAAATCTGTGCTGGAGCCAGAGCAGCCAGATATGTGTGTCATTAGAAGAGTAATGGTGGCAGAGAAGCAAAAGCTCATCCCACTTTTGGGGGGGGGAGGGGGGAGAAACACCACACCTGTTCCTAGTGGGAAGTGCATCTGTCATCAGACTAGCTTGGCTGGCTGCTCTCATTTTAATTATCACTTGCAGTCCCCAGGAAGTCTCTGCAGTGCCGCTGTGGCTTTTTGCTCCCTTTCAGAAAATTAAGTGCAGCCGAGCGCTTCCTCCTTGTAAAAAAAAGGGGATTTTAAAAGGGAAATGCCTTGGGGAATGAAGGTCAAGGTGGATGAGAATTAGAACTCTCTGTAACTGGATGTAGCACTGGCATGTCTGGATGAGAAATTTGACAGCTCCTTCCAACTTTACCACCCTGTTCATAAGCTATGAAGTTGGGAACTGGGACATTTTTTAAAGGGAGTGTGTGTGTGTGTGTGTGTGTGTGTGTGTGTGTGCAAGGGCACAATGAGGGGCAAAGCATATTTAGCAGAAACGATCACATTCCCTGTTGTTGGAAAGCGATTCCCCAAACCACAATGCCCTGCTTGGTTTTTTTCCCTTTTACCCACAATGACCGCTCCCCACATAAAACGGGGGGCGACCTTTGCGTGGACGCGCGCAGCCCCTGGATCTGGAGTGGCTCCATCAGCATAGGCTTGGCTTTGTCTTCCCTCAGGTGGGATACCTGGAGGTCTCCGCCTACCCCAGTCAGTTGTCCAATCCCACCTGGGGGAAGCGTTGCCAAGGAGATCATTCCAGGTGGGAGAGGGATTACCTGCCCACACAATAGAGGGAGGATCTTATCTGGGAATCCTCACTTGGCTCCAGAGCTTCTCCCACCATACCCACCCTCAGTTAATGCCTTATTTTGCAGGTTAACTTTTCTCCACAGGTTTTGCAGGTTACCTTTTCTTACAGGTATGCGGGCGCTGCTATGTTAAGGTCGCTGTCAAAGGTCCGGAAAGGAATTTCCCTGCATTGGCAGGTTTCGCCTTTCCCGTAGCAAAACGTCACAACTTTGGCGGTATCAGGCCTTGGGCGGAATCCTTTAGTCCATCTTCCTCTTGCAGCGGCGATACCAGGGTTCCCCGTTAAAGGGGTTTCTGAAGGGAGGCTTTGACCGTACGCTCCACTGCTGCTTCTAGAATCATTTAAAGTGGATTTTAGAACCCATAGCTTACGGCCGCCACCACATTTTGTACCGATGAGTTCCTCAAATTATACAGTTCATGGCAAAGCTTGTTCTTGTCCTCCAGCCTTAAAACGTCCCACCCAAAAGTTTCATGAGATGAACCCAAGTTCTAATATGATGAGGGACTTCCTGCTTTAGGCAAAGGAGGGAGAAAGGTTAGAACCAAAATGAGGCACAACATGCTGTGAACTGGGTTTTTCCACACTGGAGAATGGTTTGGGGCTTTGCATCCCATAAGTGGAGGAACCTATCAAGGGAATATAGCAAGTCTTGTAGAATAATAGGCTGAAGTTCACCTCCCAGTTGTAGATTGTGAACAGTTTGCTCTTGAGAGCATAAGAAGAGCTTTTCTGGATCAGACCAAAGGCCTATCTAGTCCAGAATCCTGTTCTCACAGTGGCCAGTCAGATGCCTGCAGGAAGCCGGGTTTCAGCAACAGAACAGAAAAGTTGGCAGGGCTGAGGTTTTTCCCCACTCCAGTTTACACCAGAAAATTTTTTTAATCTTCAATTAATTTGAGCATCAGGGGATGGGGAGAGGACAAACAAGTTTATCCTTCAAGTCCCAAACCCTTGACTGAAAGTGGGGGGAAAGGGAGTTCCAGAGGAAGCACAGATAAAAGGCTTGTGATGGCTAGCTTCCTGCCACGGTCCCCTCTCAGCCACATATTTGGCGTCCATGTAAAGAAGCTGTGTGCCCACAGGGCTCTCCTGTATGAGGGGGAATCCTGGGCGAGTCAGGAATTCCTCTCACAAGGAGGAGCACCTACAAATGTATGTTGCGATGCACATGCAAGCTCTTTACGTGGACACTGGATGTGTGGCCTGGAAGTTTGTGGCTTGTTGCTGTGGCGGCTAGACACCAGAACCTTCACACAATGCTTTCAGTGCCTGAGGGAGTTTATGTTAATCCCCCTCTTCAGTCAACTCTCAACGGGGCACTCGTCACAAGGCCTAATGATGACCTAGCATGAGGTGGGCCAACATGGCACCTTCAAGATGTTTTGGTCTACAACCTCCATCATCCCCCAGCTGGCATAAGCAATAGTTGTGGAGGACGCGAGTTGCAGTCCATACATCTGTGGGATACTGTGTTGGCTGACCCTGGTCAAGCATGGCAAACTACTTTCTTAAAGGGAAAAGTGAATTGCTTTCTTGTCTTTTTAAAGAACCCAAGCGACGCCCCCTTTCAGACTCGTATACCGTCCCATCGTATCCACCCTACCTGCCTGGATTCTGGCCACAACCTCAGGTAAGGGAACTGGGCGATATAGGGAGGTAACAAGGGTAGGAGAATGGTTGGAGGGGGGTTGGGGTTGGGAAAGAGATGAAAGGATTCCTTAACCCAGGGGTAGCCAATGGGTGGCCTCCATATAATAATAATTAATAATATTATTATTTGTAGCCTGCCCATCTGATTGGGTTGCCCCAGCCACTCCGGGCTGCTTGTGACAAATATTAAAGCTTAATAAAACACCAAACATGGAAATGTAAAAATAGTAATTGTGTACTACAATTCCCATCAGCATCAGCCAGCAGTGGTCATGGGTGATGGGAGTTGGAGTCCACCACATGTTGACTCCTCCTGAACTGTGTCATATGTTGGATTAGTCCATTTTGGCTGGAGCCACTTGGCTTTGAGTGGCAGCATCTCTTTCGGCAGTGAAAATACAATAGTGATAAACTGAATACGTAGTAATCTGCTGCTGTTCCCCAGTGCCCACCATCAACTGCTTCACTCTGCTTAATAGTAGAAATGCCCCTAATGGACTGTTCTGGGTAAAACAATGTCCAATGCAGTCGCAGCGGCACCCAGCCAGCTCAACAGAATGATCTCTCCAGGGTGGCAAAACCAGAAGGTTTGATCAAGCCCTTGGCAGGCCACCAGATGTAGGCGGTGAGCCTACTGGTTGTGCAGCCATCGCTGACGTCATGTTGCGATTGACCAGGTTTATATGGTTGTCCTTTTTAAGGCAGCCATTGCTAATTTAGATAATGAATGGCCTGGTCTGTTCTCAGGGACCACTTTGTTCTCCAGGCACTAGTCCAGGGCTGCAACGTTCCCGGCTATCTCTTGGCCAAGGTCCTTGGATTGTTTTTATGGCATCACTTAAGCAATAAGGGGTTGCGAGATAGGCAGCTTCTGTACTTGGACGAGGCGAGATCATCGATTGCGTTGGGCTTGGGGAAGAAAGGATGATGGATGTGTGCTTCTTGAGAAATCCCCTGCCGGAGAGGAAGAATGACAAGCACGCTTCTGGCTTTCCAGAAGATGCAGCAGAAAACAATACCATGTTGTTTGGATGGTGGAATATATAACAGATACTCACAATGGCTTGAAATGGTTTTTTTAAAAACAAAAACAAACAAACAAGATTTCAAGTTGGGTGCTGAAGGGGGTGCAGCCCTGAAAACAGCCCTGTGTAGGGAAGCTTTTTAAGGTTTAATGTTTTATTCTGTTTTTATATGTGCTGGAAGCAGCCCGTAGTGGCTGGGGCAAGGCAGTCAGATCGTCGGGATACAAATAATAAATTACTGTTGTTGTTGTTATATCCTAAAGGTAGCTTGCTCCAAGTGGATTCCCTCTTGACATTTCATGTTTATTTATTTGACAAGCATTCTTTATCCCACTCTTCAGCCAAAAAAAAGAGACTCGCAGAGCCAGTGATAAGACAATCCTTGCCCTCAGTCTTACAATCTAAAAGATGTAGCACTAAAGGAAAGGGGATTGGGATGGAGGAGTGGAGGGGAAACAGACTCCTTTTCCCCTGTTTTAGATGCACCATACATTTGAAGCACATCTGACAAACGTTCAAACCACATGGCTCCCTCCGAAATGGGAATTGTAGCTTACTCTTCACAGCTAGGATTTGCAGCACCCTTAGCAAACCACAGTTCCTGGGATTCTTTGGGGGAAGAATTGTTTGCATTGAGTGTTTGTTGCCTGTGTTTCAAATGCATGGTATGGCACTACTTGTATTGATCAGCTAGAAATGGAAAGCTTTCAAGGAGGAGGAGCCCTACGGTGCTGGTCTTTCATCAGAGGTGATGGAAACACCCTGCAGGGATATGTTTCCTACGGGGGGGGGCACTGTTTTCTCTCTTTCCATACTCATATGCCCATTTATTTATTTCTCTCTCTGCCTCTGTCTCTTTTTCTCCTCTTGCACCGTGTTCCAGTCATTCTACCAACCCCAGCAAGATGTATCCCAGGAACACACACTCTTGCCACGCTTTAGTTCTCCTAGAGCTCCACAGGAATGTGAGTACCTTAAGTAAATGACAAAACCCAACTGCACCATTCAGCGGTACAACCAACTATGGCCCAGAATAGAGCAGTTCAGTACCAGCTTGAGTGTCCTGAGTATCACAAGCTCAAATGACTTGAATTCTGATTATCTCTGGGGTGTCTCTTTCCATATGCACCTCCCCACAAATTTGAGGTCATCTGACGAGTTCCTGCTTCAGATTCCATCTTAGAAAACATATTTAAAAGACCTCTGAAGGTAGCCCTGTATCGGGATATTTTTAATGTTTGATGCTTTATTATGTTTTTTTTATATGTGTTGGAAAGTCGCCTGGAGTGGCTGGGGCAACACAGCGAGATGCCAAGGGTATATATCATAAAACTATTTATTAGTTTTATAAATAATAGTTTTATAAATAATAAATCTGTTATGATCATGAGGATTTCAGTGGTGTCAGAATGCCATGGCTGATAGATGAGTTTCTGCATATACAGTGGTACCTCGGTTTTCAAATGCAATCCATTCTGGAAGACCATTCGACTTCCGAAACGTTCAAAAACAGTTACTTCTTGAAGCATTTAATTCTGGAAAACTCACTACAGAAGTCGCATGACACATTTGACTTCCAACAAGCATTTGAAAACCGAAGCAGTTACTTCTGGGTTTTTGGCGTTCGAAAACTGAAACGTTCGACTTCCGAGACATTCGAAAACCCAGGTACCGCTGTAATTGGAATCTTTTGGAATACTGCAATTTTTTTGGAAGGATGTAGTTTCTGAATGCGTATGTGAGGACTGGAGCAAAGACCCCCCCCCCCTTAAACAGGAAGGAAAAAAGATAATAGGGAACTGACTTAAATCAAGTCAGAAAAAGACAGACAGGCAGAGAACTCAAGAAGAGCCGTGCAGGATCAGGCCTGTTGCCCATCTCTTCCAGGTCTCTCACTGGCCCGCCAGTCGGAGAGTGTGACCCTCCTCTCTCCCTACCTTGTTGGAATGTCATCCCCGTTGTTGTTAAGGTGATAGCTAACAGCCTCTTCTTCTCCCCCCCCCCCCCCAGATGGTGGAATCACTATCACAGGCCATGGCATCTCAGGAATCCAAATTGGAACCCATAACACCCTGGTCCTGGAACAGGTTCATGAGAGCAAACCCAGGAATGAGCATTAATCGATGCCTGCCGAGTGTGGGAAGTTTCTTATGGACAATTCCGTTTCCTCCGCTTCAAGGGACAAATGCACATTCCAAGCATAAGCGTGATCTTTCTTCTCTACGCAATTATGATCAGGACGCAAGAACTCTCTTCTAGAAGTGTGCCGCGAGGCCCATACACACCCTCACCACCTAATCCAGAAGCGGCACTGCTTTTGACTTGGTAGCATAAACCCAATCTGGGATGAATGAATGAATGAATGTTTATTTGCATCAGCCATTGGCCATAGCAACAAAACAACAATGCAATATACAAAGAATAGAAATAAAAGTCAATTATATAAAAAACATTTTGGGATTTTGAATCAATATTCAGATGGTGGCTCTTATTCTGATTGCCCCAGCTAAAACCTTGCAACCTTTGCTGTCATCTGCTCATCTTGATCTGCCAAGAGAAAGGACACTATGGCAGTGGTTTGGCGACCCGGAATGGACAATAAAAGAGGGGTGATAATCTCATTCCTCAAGTCTTTATTAAGAGTGCAAGACAGCCACCGATTTGGGGCTTCTAAAAGACACCTGAGAAAATGGGAAAAACAGAAAGCAGAAAGAAATGCTTGGAACATCTTAATAAAGGCCTTGCATGATAAGGACACCTCCCTCTTCTGGCATATTATATCAGGCCTTCTGGAGAATGATCGCAACATGCCAGTCTGTACTATTGAAACCAATCTGGAAGTTCAATGCCAAACTTCATCTCACCAAAACAGTCTCGCTGGGTCATCATCCCCATTCACTCAGCATCCTGCCTGGAGTGTGGAAGTGTTCAGGGACGGAGGTTTTGGGGAGCCAGGTACCCAAAAACGCAGACACAAGAATAGAATTGAAATCGCTGTATTATTCCAATGCGTGTGGATTCTGGAAAGCAAGCTTATAAATTGGAGCCTTACATTAAGGGGCAGAGATACAGCAAGAATTAAGGCGGACGCTCGTAGATGTGGAGCCCCTGTTAATTCTGCCGACTCAGCTCTCCCCTGCCTCCTGCGGGGGCCCCAGAATCACAATAGCAGGCACGGAGAAACCACAAAGCCAGCCAACGTCTCCATACTTATTTCATATTTCTTCTTTGGCGATCACTCATAGCAGAGTAAGATTGTCTTCCATAAACACCGTTTTAAAAGTGAGTCCGTAAGTGACTGTGGTGCCAATCCTTGATCCACACATCCTTCCACAGTGGGGACATAGGTTTGATCACGGTGAGAGTTTGCCAAGCGTGCCTTCCTCTTAGTGCGTTTCTCCCTTTCGTCCTGAGTTCCAGCATTTTCAAAACCCATGACACCTTTGGTAAAGGCTGTTCTCCAACTGGAGCGCTCGCAGGCCAGTGTTTCCCAGTTGTTGGTTTTTATACTACATTTATTTCATGCATTGTGATATATCAGTATATCACGATGCCCCCCCCCCCCCCCGTGATATATCACAATGTTGAAAAGCAAATATTACCCAGCCCTAGTGGGTGGGTGTTTTCATCAGATGTCACCCCCCCACCCAGTGTCCTAGGACATATCAAGAACAGACAGTCCAGTCCCTGTAGCATCTTGGGTGGTGTCTGATTAACTATACTCTTCCAGGAAAAGTTTTTGCCAGATGGCTAAGTGACACCTTAAGTCAGGGGGAATGAAGTTTTTATAGCCTGGGGGGCTGCATTCCCTTTTTGGGGACCAAATGCCAGCCATGGGTGCAGCCAGGAGCGAAAATGAGTACAGCAACCAATGCAGATTTTGCCTTTGTACATTAGGCTTGCTTGACATCCATGCACCTCTACTCTCCACCAAGGCAAGAAAGACACATGGGCAGAGTTCAAGGGCACGTTCCAGCCAGCCAGAAGCATTCCATGAAGGTGCAATGCAGGGCGAGTGAGGGGAGTGGTGAGATCCAGCCACACGCCAGCAAATTCAGGTTGCAGTGTTACAGTCACTGGAGTGCCATTGCGCCACAGTGCTGCTTCTCCAGAAATCGGACATTTTTTGCAGGAAAGAAAGTGATGGGGAAATCCACTGGAAAGTGTGGAGTAGCCACTCATTTATTGTAGGTGTTTTATTACTTTTCCAGTTTCTTGCAATTAAGATCCTGGCTGCTACTGCCGTGTACATAAAAGGGGTGTAATTTCTTTTTTGATTTCTGGTGGCATTATACCTAGGAGGAAGGTTTCAGGTTTTTTCTTAAACGAGAACTTAAATAGCTTTTTTAAATTCATTGTAGATGTTATTCCAGGCAGGTCCAAATGATAGAATATCTGCAGTTAGCTATGATGACAGGGAGAGTCAGAGGTTATCCAAAACAGAAAGTACAGAAAGGATGGGAAATCTTTAAAGAATATCTGAAAATCTATTGTAACAATAAACATCTCCTGGCAGAACTAGAATGATTCTTGTAAAATAAGAAATATAATGTTTTTGGTATCTGATGAAAACAAAGAAAGTAATACAGTAATCTGGAACTGTGTGTGAAAAAATAACAGAAAAAATAATACAATGAGTCTAATTGGAAGTCAAATGTGTTTATTTTTTCTTTCTTTCTTCTAATTCTTTCTTTAAATCTCCCCCCTTCTTCTTTTTCTTTCTACCTTCTTTTTTTGTTCCTTTTTCTTTTTGATCTGCTAAGAAAAAGATAAAGAGATAAAAGTTAAATATGAAAAACTGAGCAAGTTAAAGTGATGTTCTGTAATTTTTCAACTACTATTAAAGATGGTCAATTGTAATGCACTGATGTAGTAGTTATTGTGGATTTTTTTGTTATTGTTGAATCTTAAATAAAGTATTAAAAGAAAAGGAAAAAAGTGTGGAGTAGCAATGGCTCGATGCAATGTTGTGTAACCTCCTAACAAACAATGAATAGAATGAATGCTGGATAAGCAGCCAATGTTGTCTGAAATCACTGAAAACTTTGTGCTCAATAAAACGGGTTGTCTGGAAGCAGCCATTTCCTCCTGTGGAAATATCAGGAAAGGATGTTTAAGTGTGCATGCAAGTGTGTAATGTACATGCTGGCGGGCACTTCATTTTGCTGCTTGAAATGCCAAGCTGGAGCATCTCCCTGTCATCAGAGTTCCTATGTTTTGAAATGGCACCTGGGGTGCTTTGTCCTCTTTGTAAATATTTAGTCTACAAATCTGCAAAGAGAAGCACACACTCCCCAGAAAGCCACGGGTGGCACTAACACCTTGTTGCTGGCATCCGTCTGAACTGGGAGACACATGGCAACCATTGTTTTTGTTCCTTTACCATCTGAAATTTTATTTTTTAATTTTTTCCAAAGGTTTTTTTGGGGGGTGGGGGTGGGGAATGGGAGAAAGAACAACATGTTTCACACATTATAAAGAGAACAGCCATGGGGTGTGGTGAGAGACGGAACCGCGTCATAAATTTAAAGCACATCCAGCACACATTTAAAACAAAGTATCCTGGGAAGTGTAGAGTCTTAAGGGTGCTGGGAATTGTAGTTGTGAGGGGGGCAGCTACAGTTCCCAGGATTCTTTGGGGGAGTCACATGCTCTAAATGTGTGTTGGATGTGCTTTAAAAGTACAGTGGTACCTCTGGTTAAGCAATGACAAACCTAGACAGCATCTTAAAAAGCAGAGACATCACCTTGCCAACAAAGGTCCGTATAGTTAAAGCTATGGTTTTCCCAGTAGTGATGTATGGAAGTGAGAGCTGGACCATAAAGAAGGCTGATCGCCGAAGAATGGATGCTTTTGAATTCTGGTGCTGGAGGAGACTCTTGAGAGTCCCATGGACTGCAAGAAGATCAAACCTATCCATTCGGAATGAAATCAGCCCTGAGTGCTCACTGGAAGCACAGATCGTGAAGCTGAGGCTCCAAGACTTTGGCCACCTCATGAGAAGAGAAGACTCCCTGGAAAAGACCCTGATGTTGGGAAAGATGGAGGGCACAAGGAGAAGGGGACGACAGAGGACGAGATGGTTGGACAGTGTTCTCGAAGCTACCAGCATGAGTTTGACCAAACTGCGGGAGGCAGTGGAAGACAGGAGTGCCTGGCGTTCTCTGGTCCATGGGATCAAGAAGAGTCAGACACGACTAAACAACTAAACAGCAACAACAACCTCTGGTTAAGAACTTAATTCGTTCTGGTTAAGAACTTAATTCGTTCCGGAGGTCCATTCTTAACCTGAAACTGTTCTTAACCTGAGGTACCACTTTAGCTAATAGGGCCTCCCGCTGCCGCCGCACGATTTCTGTTCTCATCCTGCAACAAAGTTCTTAATCAGAGGTACTATTTCTGGGTTAGCGGAGTCTGTAACCTGAAGTGTCTGTAACCTGAAGCGTCTGTAACCCGAGGTACCACTGTATGTTGTGGGTGTGCCCTGTGGTGGGTCCTGAGTACACCTCAGCTTAAAAAAAATGAAAATCTGCTTTTTTAAAAAAATTGATTAAATGAATATAGATTTGCAGAAGTATGTAAAAGCCCTGCACTGTGAAACAAGTGCCTTTATGTATACTAATGCAATCCTATGCACACCTCCCTGTTTCGCTAACTTGAGTGAAGCTTTGGTTATGTGGACACCACAGTTTAGGATTTGTTCATTGCCATCGGTAGGCTGTACACTTGGCACCAACCCCGAACCAGACGTATCCTGGTATCTGTTTTTTTGCAAACCAGTTTTGGTGCCAAATGATATTTTAAAACTGAATTCACCCTTCAGCCTAGGTGTGTACAAATGAAGGTGCTTGCGAAAAGAACCTTTTTTTTGTGGGGCTGTGCACACAGGTAAACAAATATCTGCACACATGCCCACAATGGTGTGTGGAAATGTTAAAAGTTGGTCTTTTCCAACTCTTCAATTCTGTCAGTCCCTGATGTGAATATACTCACCTGCATGTACTGGTAGCTGCAATATACTGTAGCTCCTCCTTCAGCTATCATTGTGACACACGGGTATGAACAACTGCAAACAGGGAAGGCTGCTCTATGAGGGCAAATGGGGTACTGCCCACCGTCCAGCCAAAATCTGCTGTCAGCCAATCCCTACTGCCTGTCATCTTCCTTACAACCAGTCCAGAAGGTAGAACTGCTTGTCAGCTTCCTCCTTGTCCTGGTAAAACTCACTGTTAGGAAGATCTATTGAAAGCAGCGCCAGTCCTACCATTGGGCAGACTGAGGAAGCTGCCTCAGGCCGCAGATGCTGTACACGTTGCTACGCCGAAAATTATCTCTGGGTTTTCTTTCCCTTTCCTTTTCTCGATGGTTTGCAGGAGCAGAGTTTAGTTTGTTGCAAGCACAGCTCTGTCAGTTAATAAAAGAAGCCTGTGTTGGGGAATTCAAGCTTCCACAAACCACCATTCCTAGTAAGACAACCTTAGGTGTTGCAATAAAACTTGCCAATCTGGTCAGCTTCCCTAGGTGGAAAGTCAGTGGGCGGAGAAGATAGAGTCTTGCCTTTCAGGCAGCAAAAAAGTGTCCTGGACCAGACTTGGCTAGAAGGGAACAGCTTCTGCCTGCTGCACCTGCCTTTGATAAGCAATGGTCTGGGGCAGAAAAAAATCACCCTTCCCATCCTTTGCAAGGCGAAGACTTTCAGAGAGGGTGGGTGCTGGAGTCTGAGTGTGCATATGATCTCGATCAGGGGTCAGCAAACTTTTTCAGCAGAGGGCCTGTCCACTGTCCCTCAGACCTTGTGGGGGGCCGGACTATATTTTGAAAAAAATAAAATAAAACAAATGAATGAATTCCTATGCCCCACAAATAACCCAGAGATGCATTTTAAATAAAAGCACACATTCTACTCATGTAAAAACACCAGGCAGGTCCCACAAATAACCCAGAGATGCATTTTAAATAAAAGGGCGCATTCTACTCATGTAAAAACATGCTGATTCCCAGACCGTCCGCGGGCTGGATTTAGAAGGCAATTGGGCCGGCTCCGGCTCCCAGGCCTTAGTTTGCCTATCCATGATCTCAGTGATGATGGTGGTTGATCCATTAGGGCATTTTGCCCCAACCAGCCCTCCCCTGCCCACCACCTGACTTGCAACCAGTCAGGGGTTGGGCTCTGCTTGTCATTGCTGTTGATTCTTTACTGCCCGTCTCCTTGCCTTCCCTGTCAGCCCCAATGGGCACCAGCTACCGCTGCTAAGACATTTGTACCCCACTTTTCTTCCAAGGCGTTTTCCCTCCACTTTTTCTAACTC